TTGGAATAGAAAGAGAGGCATACAAGGAGGGGATTGTACCCTCTACAGTAAAGTTCGGTAACCTACCAAGCCTAACAATTATATAACTAAATATATAATTTTAACACAATCATTCGCCCTTTTTCCTAAATCACGGGATGGACCCGACAGTACCCATTTCCACCAACGTCGAAAGCCAAGTCCCCCGCTCGCAGCAGTTCGTCGAAGACCTTCAAATCGTCCGCACGAAAGCCATCGAATTTATCCGAAAAGCCAATGTAACTGCCCGCCAATACGCTGACCACCACAGACGAGAAATTACCTTGACTGTAGGGAAATTAGTCATCCTTCACACAAAAAACCTTCGCCTGCAGATACCGCCAAAACTCCGACCCCGCTACTGTGGACCATTCAAAATCATCAAGATGATAACGCCAGTGACCGCCCAACTCCGCCTGTTCAACAGTTGGAAAATTCATAATCCATTCCACGTACGCCTCCTTCATCCTTTTGAGGCCGACATATCAAACGTCGCCCGACAGCCGATCGCCCAGGATCTACGGCCAACCGGGAAGATGCTCATCGAACCAGTGAAGATCCTGAGCCACCGCGCACAAATCAACGGTCAGGAAAGACACGTTTGACTTTCTGATATGATGGACTCATCGTACCAGCGAGGACTGTCAACTTATACATATTAGCTACGTAGAAGTTATAGGCTAGACTAAGGTATGCTTCTAGTGAGTATAACCAACTAGCATTTGTTCTAGGGTTTCACTTCTAGTCAATCATTCAGTTCTCACTTTAACATGGTATCACGCGTAGGTTAGAATCCCCCACATACCGCTTTCCCCCGTACCCTAGCTAGGCCCCGTCGCACCTCCTAGCCCCGTCGCGCCTCCTAGCCCCGTCGCGCCCCTCCTGGGCCCCGTCGCGCCCCCTAGCCCAGCCGAGCCCCTCCTGGGCCCCGTCGCGCCCCCCCCCTAGCCCCGTCGCGCCCCTTCTGGGCCCCGTCGCGACCCTCCTGGGCCCCGTCGCGCCCCCCTAGCCCTGTCGCGCCCCTTCTGGGCCCCATCGCGCCCCCTAGCCTAGTCGCGCCCCTCCTGGGCCCCGTCGCGCCCCTCCTAGCCCCGTAGCGCCCCTCCTGGGCCCCATCGCGCCCCATAGCGCCCCTCCTGGGCCCCGTCGCGCCTCCTGGCCCTGTCGCGCCCCTCCTGGGCCCCGTCGCGCTCTGCCTGGCCCCGTCGCGCCCGCTCGGCCTCGTCGCGCCCTGCCTGGCCCCGTCGCGCCCGCCTGGCCCCGGCGCGCCCTACCTAGCCCCGTCGCGCCCTGCCTGGCCCCGTCGCGCCTGCCTGGCCCCTCCGCACCTGCCTGGCCCCGCCGCGCCTCCCTGGCCCTGCTGCAACTACCTGGCCCCGCCGTGCCTGTCTAGCCCCGTTGCGCCTGCTTGGCCCTGCCGTGCCTGCCTGGCCCCGCCGCGCCTGCCTGGCCCCGCCGCGCCTGCCTGGCCCAGCTGCGCCTGCCTGACCCCGCCGCGCCTGCCTGGCCCCGCCGCGCCTGCCTGGCCCCGCCGCGCCTGCCTGGCCCCACCGCGCCTGCCTGGCCCCGCCGCACCTGCCTTGCCCCGCCGCGCCTGCTTCGCCCCGCCGCGCCTGCCTGGCCCTGCCGCATCTGCCTGGCCCCGCCACGCCTGCCTGGCCCCACCGCGCCTGCCTGGCCCCGCCGCACCTGCCTGGCCCCGCCGAGCCTGCCTGGCCCCACCGCGCCTGCCTGGCCCCGCCGCACCTGCCTGGCCCCGCCGCGCCTGCCTGGCCCTGTGGCCATGCTCCCAGCGGCCGCAGGTTTCGCCGACCCTTCTTTGGACCGGGTCCCCCGGTGATGCGCCTGCGTTCCACGTCTGGGGCTGCCTTGCTCACGTTCGTGCCTCTGGCACGGACAAGCTCACTGCCAGCACTGTCCCCCGTGTCTTCCTCGGTTTTCCCCTGGACTCGCCTGCTCGGCCTTCGCTCCCCGGACCGCGCGCCGGTGTCTCCCCCACCGCCTGCTGACCTTCCTGTCTACGGTCCTGTGTTCCCGCCACCGGACTCGTCTCCGGCCCGTCTTCCTCCTCGTTCCCCTCCTGTGTCCCCTCCGCTGTCCCCTGACCCTACACCTCCGTCTCACGTTTGGGCTCGCCGTCCCTCCCGTGCTCGCCCCGTCTCTCCTGTCCTCCCCACCCACCCTATGTTGCTCCGTTCCCGCTCGTCTCGTCCTCCCCTCCTCCCGTCCCCTCCTCCCTCGTCCCTTGCTGTCGCACCTCCTCTGTTCTCTGACTACCTCCGTGCAGCTCGTCCCCTTGTCCCTCGGGTCCTTGCCTCTCTTGTTACCGACCCTGCTGTTCCTGTCTCGCGCCTTGACGCGCTTGTCGCTGCTGTCGCTGACTTCGCCTCTATCCGCCGCCTTGACTACGCTACCGCTCTGGTCTCTGACCATGCCCGTCCTCCGTTCGTCGGGGGTGCCTCTGCCCTTGGCAGTGACGTCCTAGAGGACAGGCAGTACGAGCTGGCTTTCCTTTCCGAGGCTGCTCCCCATCTCTGCTCCATGCTGTTAGTCCCTGAGGGTGACCCAGATGCCTTCGACATCCCGACCCCTCGCACCTACGCTGAGGCCACCTCGAGACCTTGGGCCTCTCAGTGGATAGCTGCCATGGAGCAGGAGATGGCATCTTGGAGGTCCACCGGCACTTACGTCGACGCAGTTCCCCCGCCTGGGGTGAACGTAGTCGATGGTCGGTGGCTCTTCAAGGTGAAGCGCCCCCCTGGAGAGCCGCCTGTCTTCGAGGCGCGCTACGTGGCCAGAGGTTTCAGTCAGTGAGAGGGGGTTGACTTCTTCCAGACCTTCGCCCCGACCCCGAAGATGACCACTCTTCGGGCGCTGCTACATGTAGCAGCACAGCGCGACTACGAGCTTCACTCCCTCGACTTCTCTACTGCCTTTCTTCAGGGCAGCCTACACGAGCAGGTCTACCTGCGTCGACCTCAGGGCTTCACCGGTACCTTCCCCCCTGGGACCCAGTGGCTTCTCCGGCGCTCGGTCTACGGCCTGCGTCAGGCTCCTCGCGAGTGGCACGACACGTTGCGTGCCACGTTAGCAGACCTGCAGTTCTTTCCGTCCTCTGCTGACCCCTCGCTGTTTGTGCGTTCCGGCCAGACTCCGTTCTACATCCTTGTCTACGTAGACGACCTGGTCTTTGCTACTGCTGACAGGGACGCACTGGCCTCCGTGAAGGCCGAGCTGCTGAAGAGACACACCTGTACCGACCTTGGAGAGCTGCGTCGCTATCTTGGCCTGCAGATCTCTAGGGACAGAGCAGCACGCACCATCACTCTGACACAATCACACTTGGTGCGTCAGGTCCTTCAGAGGTTCGGTCATCAGTTCTCCTCCGCACAGCCCACACCTCTACCTGTAGACCATGGGCTCTCCGCTCCCGTTCATGAGGAGCCATTAGAGCCCAGTGGACCCTACGCAGAGCTGGTGGGTTGCCTCATGTACCTGATGACTTGCACTCGCCCAGATCTTGCATACCCTCTCAGCATCCTGGCTCGCTTTGTGGCCACTGGCAGACACCGACCACAGCACTGGTCGGCCGCTCAGAGGGTTTTGCGATATCTAGCAAGTACATCGGGCATGGGGTTAGTGCTAGGAGGACGCAGGCCGGTGGTCCTCACTGGGCACACAGACGCTTCTTGGGCAGACGACTCTGAGACTCTCAGGTCGTCGCAGGGCTACTGTTTTAGTCTTGGTTCGGGTGCTATCTCTTGGAGATCCACTCGCTCGTCGTCTGTTGCTCAGTCCAGCTGTGAGGCTGAGATCTACGCTGGTGCCATGGTGGCACACGAGCTCCGCTGGCTGACCTTCTTGCTCACTGACTTAGGTGAGCGGCCTAGCTCTGCCCCGGTCCTGTACGCTGACAACAGGGCCATGATACTCCTGTGTCAGGAGCCTCGGCTTGAGGGCAGAGCGAAGCATATCCAGCTGCGGTACTTCCTCCTGCGTGAGCTACAGTAGCGCCGCCAGGCCCGCGTAGTTCACTTGGCCTCAGGTGCCAACACAGCTGATATCTTTACTAAGGCGCTTGCGCCTAAAGATCATCAGCGGCAGTGTGTACAGCTTGGTCTTGTTCCTGTAGCTACTCACCTGCTAGGATCCTGATTGTGTACTCTCTATTATATATGCCTGTCAGACTGGCCTTGTGGCCTTACCTCAAAAGGCTGGACTAGTAGTGCCGCCCTGGCTTGCTTTAGTTTTGTTTGTATTCTTGCTGACTGGTCGCCAGACCCCTGCCTCAGTGGTTGGACTAGTAGTGCCACCCTGAGCTGTTTGCTTCTTGCTTAGCTTCACCCCTTGTCTAGCCTAGGGGGTGTGTCAACTTATACATATTAGCTATGTAGGAATTATAGGCTAGACTGATGTATGCTTCTAGTGAGTACAACCAACTAGTATTTGTTCTAGGGTTTCACTTCTAGTCAATCATTCAGTTCTCAGTTTAACAAGGACGACACGTGGGTTCCCTCGGTACTAGTCCAGTCACCAACAGTACTCCAGGATTATTTATCCCGCAAGCACGTCGCAAATATAGACCACCTTCGCTAGAGGGGGAGGGGTAGTGTAAGGAAATTTCCATTCCTTAGCGCGTCACACCGCTACCGCGTACATCAACCCCACACGGCACCGACATCTGCCCTAGCTTCGGCCCAAACACGGCACCGAACCATTTCCGCGTCACCCCGAAGCGCTCCGCATCCGAGGATGCCTTCTACGAACCTGTTCGATCACGCGACTTGGATTGCTCTGGTCTGGTGTATATCTTGCTTCGTCATTCCATTGTACCACATTCTGTTATTCTGAACCTCGACATTCTATTCCGCGCTACTCGGATTAAACACTTGTAGCAACAGGCATGCACCATTCATGCCTCTCTCATCCACCATCTTTGCAAGTGTTTCATATTCATGGATGCTTACTGGTACCTAGACCTGCATGGTAGTTGCATGTGTATGCTCTATCTTTTCCTCCCCTTCATTACATGCCATTGAAATTATGAGAGCCAAGAGGCGCTTGGCACCCCGGCATGCCTCAATTTGCAAGGCCTCGTCCGCAACCTAATGTCTCCTGACAGATGAAACCGTTTTTCCTCAAGCTAAAACTAAACTGTAGCTGTGGTCCATGATGCATGTCTACCCCTCTATGTTACAGCAGCAGGGTTGGGTTGGGTTCGGCTGGGACCCCCACTAGCCTTGTTGCCTCCCAAGCCTAGGCCCTCAATAGCCAAAACAACTACACTATCCATCTCCTGCCATCCCATGCAGACCATTCGATGCAAACTGCTCTGCAATGCGCAACAGGTCTCTAGCACCCGGACGGGGGCAGCTTCTGTGTGCAACTGACGGGGGGGTGGTGGGGGAGATTGGGGGAGAACAGAACAGCACGTCAGTGGATCGGATAGTTTAGGTGGTTCAAAACGAACGGTTGTAACTGACTAGAGCGAACCAGGAGGAGAGCTTGTTATGAGCGGAGGTGGTGCACAGGTACAGTGAGAAGGGATTGGAATCGAACAGAGAAGGGGCTCCCAAGAACGCGCTTACTGAAACGGCTACAGATTTGTTCCCCCACAGCAGCACAGCACGTACCCGCCTGCGCTGGGTGCACCGCTGGCTCAGCTGCTTGCTTGTATGCCCCCCTGCACACACACACAGAAACAAAAAGGCAGGCCGTTGGGGAGGGCACAAGACACTGTGCATGTGCGTGTGCTTGTGTGAGTGCTTGTGCATGTGCGTGTGCATGTGCATGTGCATGTGCGTGTGAGTGTGCACGTGCATGTGCATGTGCGTGTGCGTGTGCGTGTGCATGTGCATATGCGTGTGCATGTGCATGTTCATGTGCATGTGCGAGTGCATGTGCATGTGCATGTGCATGTTCTGTGACATTCATATCCAACTCAGCTAGCTTGCCCCTAATTCATTACACGAACCACGCACCCACCCATCATAACACACACTCCATGCTCCATCAACCCATCACCCCGTCACCCCATCACCCCATCACCGCATCACCGCATCACCGCATCACCCCATCACCCCATCACCCCATCACCCCATCACCCCATCACCCCATCACCCCATCACCCCATCGCCCCATGATACGGGGCACTCCATTAATCCAGCCCCCTCCCAACCTACCTCCAACGCCACCCCTCCCCCCTGTGGCCTCGCCTCCCCCCCTTGCGCCTGCATCCCCAGCACTTCCCCCCCCGGCCCTAGCTGCTGCCCTCCCTGCTGCCCCTGCTCCTCCCTCTGCTGCCCCCCTTCTAGCTGACTCTCCCCCCCCTGCTGCGCCTGCTGGCCCCCCTGCTGCACCTGCACCTGCTGCTGTTGCTGCTGCTGCTGCTGCAGCAGCTGCTGCTGCTGAAGCTGCACCTGCTGCTGCTGCATCTGCAGCTGCTGCTGCAGGGCCAGCGCGTGCTGGTGTGATAAGGCAGGGTGTTGACCCCCCATGGTCTGGTGCGCGTATGCAGCAGCAGGAGCGCCACTGTACATGTTGTAACCCGCGGTTGCCGCATACCCCATGTACGCTGCTACTGCTGCTGTGGGGTCTTGTGCTAGTCCGTATGCTGCTGCTGCTGCTGCTGCCTGGGAGATGGCATGGGGGGAGGATGGGAGGAAGGAAGGAAGGGAGGAAGGGAGGGTATCGGGCGGGGGGGGGGGGGGGAGAGGGGGAGGGAAGAGGAGAGGTGATGGGAAAGTGGACGTATGGATGGAGGCCTGAAGGAGTGAGAAGGAATGAAAGCAGCGGTCGCTGGTGTACAACTTAAATACCATTGACACCTGATAATCACAATTCAGCCAGACTATCTTTCCACTGCATCCAACTACACCCATCAAAGAGACGCACCTGGGAATCGAACCCTGGAGCATTGGGGTCAAACGCCCCAGGAGGGGGGCCGTACTGAGCTGGGTAGAAGCCTGCAGCAGCAGCCGCAGCTGCCACCTGCTGCTGTTGTTGCTGCTGCTGCTGCTGCTGCTGCCCCCATGCCACCGCTGCTGCCATGTTAGGGTCAGCTGCTGTTCCCCACAGCTGCTGCTGCTGCTGCTGCTGCTGCTGCTGTTGCAGCTGCTGTTGCTGCGACTGCTGCTGCTGCTGCTGCTGCTGCTGCTGCTGCTGCTGCTTCTGTTGCTGCCCTCCCGCCGACTGCTGCTGTGGTCGCTGCGACATGGCAGGGAGAAAAGAAGGAGAACGAGGAACAGAGGAGAAAGAAAGAGGAACAGAGGAGAAAGAAAGAGGAACAGAGGAGAAAGAAAGAGGAACAGAGGAGAAAGAAAGAGGAACAGAGGAGAGGAAACAAGGGGACTAGCTTTGAAACGATATGCTTGTTGGATCTCAACTCTACACGCCCAGAAGATCGTGCCCCAACAACAACTTCTCACCCCACCACCAACCCCCCTCGCCTTGTGTCCCTCACCTTGCCCATGGGGTTGCGTCCCTCACCTTGCCCATGGGGTTGCGTCCCTCACCTTGCCCATGGGGTTGCGTCCCTCACCTTGCCCATGGGGTTGCGTCCCCATGACAAGCGCACGGCCTGTTGTCCGATCATGGTCCCGTGCACGCTGCGAATGGCCTCCTCCGCATGCGCTCTGGGGTGAAAAGGCGGGGGTTGGAGAAAGGGGAGAGGGGGGAGAGAGGGGAGAGAGGGGAGAGAGGGGAGAGAGGGGAGAGAGGGGAGAGAGGGGAGAGAGGGGAGAGAGGGGAGAGGGGGGGAAGGGGGGAGAGAGGGGAGACGGGGGAAAGGTGTGTTTTGAGTCGACTCAAAACCAGACCCGTGCATGCCGCGAATGGCGTCCTCCAGGTGAGCTCTGGGGTCAGTGGGGGGGAAGGGGGATGGGGGGGAAAAACCAGGAGGAGAGTAAGGAGGGTGTGGCACCGTGGAACCAGTAGGACTATTGAGGCGCCATGCCAGCTTAGCACACTCCGTCCGCAGCACCAACTCTCCCCTGATATCTCTCAGCACTTCATGATGCCATAAATAACTCACCTATCACACGGTGGAACGTAGCAGAACCTCCTGGGGGAACTCACAAGCCCAGCTCCGCTCAAACCCAGCACTGCTCAAAAGTCAAGCCCAACCCAGATTGGCTCAAACCCAGCCTCTCAAAGTTAGAACCGCGCTACCTTGCACACTGCACCACCTTTGAAGAACCCCCAACGACCCACCACCACCGCTCTGCAATACCTTTGCCGGAACTGCACGAAGCCGCAGCCCTTGCCAAAGGGGATCTTGACATAGACCAGCTCGCCAAAGGCGCCAAACACTCCCCTCAGCTGATCCTCACTCACGCTCGAGTCCAAACCCCCCACAAATACCTGCAGGGCGGCGGAAAGGGGCAGAGAAATTTGGTGTAAGTGGGTGGGTGAGAAGAGAGCAAATGCGTGGCCGGCAGGTGTGGACCGGGGAAGAGACGGGGGAGTTTGGGATGCTGGGAAGAGAGCGGGGTTAGAAGTGATGACAAGGGAAGGGATCCCGTGAGGAAAGAATTGGATGAGGGGAAAGATGTGTGCTTGGAGAGTCGACTCAAAACACACATGGTCACGTAGGGATGCACATGGTCACATGGTCGCATGGTTGCATGGTTGCATGGTCGCATGGTTGCATGGTCCCATGGTCACATGGTCGCATGGTCGCATGGTTGCATAGTCCCATGGTCACATGGTCGCATGGTCGCATGGTCGCATGGTCGCTTGGTCGCATGGTCTCACGGTCACATGGTCGCATGGTCGCACGGTCACATGGGCACATGGTCCCTTTGATGTATACAGAGATGCCTCAAAAGGAGGTGGGATTGAGAGGGAGGGATGGAGGGGCAGACGGTTGTCACTCACATAGGCATGCTCGTATTCCTATCCCATGATCACATGACATGACATGACATGAGATGACATGACATGAGATGAGATGACATGACATGAGATGACATGACATGAGATGACATGACATGAGATGAGATGACATGACACGAGATGACATGACATGAGATGAGATGACATGACATGAGATGACAAGACATGAGATGAGATGAGATGACAGGACATGAGATGAGATGAGATGACATGACATGACATGAGATGACATGACATGACATGACATGACATGAGATGAGATGAGATGACATGACATGAGATGAGATGAGATGACATGAGATGAGATGACATGACATGACATGAGATGCCCTCTTTGAGTGACACTGTTTTGCATTCGATTCCCTTTTGAGGTGCCTCAGAAGGCAAGGCAATTCTTACAGTGGTGTTGGAGGGGTCTTCCACCCCCCCATGCCCATGCCCCCCTCCCTGCTGCTGCTGCTGCTGCTGCTGCTGCTGATGGTGGTGGTGCTGCTGGTGAGGCTGCTGCGCCTGCTGTGGTGCCATGGGCACTCGAGAAAGCAGGCCTGTTCATTCAAAGCCATGGGTGGTAGAGACAAAAGGGGAGGGGAGGGGGTGGGGAGCGTATTTTTGAGGCGCCTCAAAAAAAGACTCCTCACACTCGAGAAAGCAGGCCTGTTCATTCAAAGCCGTGGGTGATCGAGACAAAAGGGGAGGGGGTGGGGAGCGGGTAGGGGCGAGGGGAAGGGGGAGTCAAGCTCCGAGGCCTTGCAAAGTAGGCTGCTGAGCTAAGCCTGCTGCTGTGCCACGGGCACTTGAGAAAGCACGCCTGATGCTGGAATTATGTTGATGGCGGTAGAGGGGAGAGGGGAAAGGGGAGAGGGGAAGGGGAGAGTCATGTGGTGCAGCTGCCGTGGTGCAGCTGCCGTGGTGCAGCTGCCGTGGTGCAGCTGCCTTGGTGCAGCTGTTAATTTGTAGTAAAAGAAAAAAAACACAGCCACGCGGACTCCTCAGTCCAATCTCACCAGCCGTGGCAGGGGGGGGAAGCACTGGCAGCAGCAGAAGCAGCAGAGGAAGTGGAGGGAAGTAGAGGCAGCAGCCTTCTTGGGAGTGGCAATGGATATGCGCATGGCATGGGGCGCGGGGAGCAGTAATGCCCGCTCATCTCCCCCCACAGCCCGTCACACTGCCACTCCAGCCCAGCCTCCAACCCAGCCTCCAATCCAGCTTCCAGCCCAGCTTCCAACCCAGCCTCCAACCCAGCCTCCAACCCAGCATCCAGCCCAGCCTCCAGCCCAGCCTCCAGCCCAGCCTCCAGCCCAGCCTCCAACCCGGCCTTGTACCCGGCCTTGTACCCGGCCTGCAACCCGGCCTCGTACCCCAGGCTCACCAGCAGTGGCAGGGGAAGCGCCAGCAGCAGCAGACGAGGTAGAAGCAGAGGCAGCAGCCTTCTTGGGCGTGGCGATGGAGATGCGCATGGGGCGCGAGGAGCAGTACTGCCCGCTCATCTCCCCCAGCGCACGATCCCTCTCCTCCACCGCTGCGAACCGCACGAAACCATAGCCCTTGCTGCGCCCCGTGGTGTTGTCCATCACCACCTGGGGGGCGAGGAAAAGGGGAGAAAGAGGGAAGGGGAGTCTATTTTTGAGGCGCCTCAAAGAAAGAGGGAAGGGGGGAAGAAAGGAAGGTGGAAGGGGAAACGGGAAACGGGGAGGGGGAAAGGGGCAAGGGGGAAGGGGCAAGGGGGAAGGGGCAAGGGGGAAAAGGGGAAGGGGTAAGGAGGAAATGGGAAGGGGGAAGGGGAGAAGGGGTGGGGGGCCAGGGGGTAGGTACGACATGCGGGCCCACATTCCACAAGGACTAATCCCCTTGCCATGCCTTAGCACTGCTCCTTGTCACCTTGCCCCCTTGTTCACCCTGGGGCCTCCTAAACCTCCTGCATTCTTTAGGCGCCTCAAAAATAGACTCAGCATCGCTCCTTGTCACCTCATCCCCTTGTTCACCATGCTGCATCCTGAACCTCGTGCCTGGCTGACTGAACTGAACATCCATGAGCCGTTTTGACACGCCTCAATACTAAACTACTTACCCTTGTTTTCCTTCCCCTTGAGCCTGACTGAACGCCCATCAGCCGCACACCTTGGCGCAGCGCACAGAGGGGCATCGCGCACGGACGGAGAGTGAGTTTAGAGGCGACTCACAAACTGGGCGCTTACTTTAGCTCTGCAGTCGCTCACCCTAGCCCTACAGCAGCCGCTCACTCGACCATACAGCCGCTCACTCGACCTCTACAGCCGCCCACTCGACCATACAGCTGCTCACCTTGGCGCCGCGCACGGAGGGGTACCGCGCACGGAAGGTTTCCGTGAGCAGCAGGTCGGTGACGTCCGCTGCCAGGTCGCCCACAAACACACTGTGCTCGGGGCCGTCGGATTGCCTGCGGGAAAGGAGAGAGAGGGGGGGGGGATATGGAGAGGGAACTTTTGAGTCGACTAGAAACCAGTTGCTCACAACCACACTGTGCTTGGGGCCGTCGGATTGCCTAGGGGAAAGGAAGGGGGAGGAGGGGGCGGGGGAGAGGGGTGGGGGAAGAGGCAGAGGAAAAAGTTGACTTTTGAGCCGACTAAAAAACAGTTGCTCACAAGCACACTGTGCTCGGGGGTTGTTGGATTGCCCGGTGCGGGGGGAAGGGATGGGGAAATGGGAATTGGGAGATGCACATGCGTGAAGGGCTGCTGGTCACTCTGCGGCATGGCAGTGCCGGCGTACATGCCCAGCACGCTGCCCGCCACCCTTTCCCCCTTCCCGCCCTTGCTTCCCATCCCCCACACAGTCCATCAGCCGAATTTTGAGTCGACTCAAAAGTCACCTTTTGAGTCGACTAAAAAAAAAACCCACACAGTCCATCAGCCCCCCTCACCGCGCGCCCCCCATCCCCTTCCCCTTACCCCCCTCCCCCTTTACCAGCTTCCCTCCGCCCAATCCCCCCTGCTCCCCCAACCCCCCCTCTCAAATCCTCCCCCTCCTCTCCCCCCCCGCCCCCCCTCACCGGCGGTCGTTCATGCCAAAGCTGGCCCAGTTGAGGCGGAAGGGCTGCTGGTCGGTCTGCGGCATGGCGGTGCCGGCGTACATGCCCAGCACGCTGCCCGCCACCGCGTGCGACGACAGCTCCACGAACCCGTACCCCTCGCTGTACCCCGTCGCCTTGTTGCGGATGATCTTCACCGACTGCACCTGAAGGGGGGGGGAAGAGGAGAAGGGAAAGGGGGAAGGATAGGGGGGGAAGGGCAAGGGGGATGCAGTGGGGGGGGTGAGGGAACCCGTACCCCTCGCTGTACCCCGTCGCCTTGTTGCGGATGATATTCACTAACTGCAACTGCAGGGGGGGGGAGAAGGAAGGCAACGGCCGGCCGGGGGTATAGGGGGTTGTGACAAGGCGTGTGGAGGTGAGAAGCGGTTGGACAGGGTTTGAGGTCGTCCCACAACAACACAGCCGCACGAACCCGTACCCCTCGCTGTACCCCGTCGCCTTGCTGCGAATGATATTCACTGGCTGCACCTGAGGGGGTGGGGAGAGAGAAGGGGAAGGGGAAAGGACAGGGGGGGGAGGATAGGGGGGGGAGGATAGGGGGGGAGGATAGGGGGGGGAGGATAGGGGGGGAGGATAGGGGGGGAAGGATAGGGGGGAAAGGTTTAGGGGGATGCAGTGCGGGGGGTGAGGGAACCAGTACCCTTCGCTGTACCCCGTCGCCTTGTTGCGGATGATCTTCACTGACTGCACCTTAAGGGGCAATGGGGCGGAGAGAGAGCGGTAGGGGGAGGCAGGTGGAAGGGCGGGAGGAGAGGGATGGGGGGTTGTGTACGGGATTTGCGGAGGTGTCTCACAACATGCAACCACGAACCCATAGACCCCGCTGTACCCCGTCGCCTGTAATCCGTCTACGGCGCCTTCTGCCGCGGCGTGCGCGTCGCGGCCTCTGATGCGGCATGCAATGCGCGCCAAAAAAAGAGAAGAAAACAAGACGCGCCCGCCTAGTAACGTGGCGTGTATTGCGCGCCTACGCAAAACCCCCTGCCCCTCCAACCGCCGCTCACTTCGGCCGTGCGCGCTCACCTACCACCTACGCGCTCCCCTCGCCCCCCTCCCGCGCTCACCTCGCCCGTGCGCGCTCACCTCGCCCCCCTCCCGCGCTCATCCCGCCCGTGCGCGCGAAGCAGTTCCAGAGGTAATTCTCGTCCATCCAGCACTGCAGGTCGCCTTTTGAGTAGACCCACTCAAAGGTTCGCTCACCCCTTCTCTCTCCCCTCCCTCCCTCCCTCCGTCCCCCCTCTTCCCCCTCCCGCGCTCACCTCGCCCGTGTGCGCGAAGCAGTTCCAGAGGTAATTCTCGTCCATCCAGTACTGCAGGTCGCCCACCCACAGCGTCTTAACCTCCTCCTGCCCGCCCCCGCCGCCGCCGCCGCCGCCGGCGATGGAGGGAGCCGCGGCGGGAACGTTCTGCTGCAGCAGAGAGAGCGACGGCTGCTGCTGCTGCTGCTGCTGCAACTGCTGTGGGCCCACCGGCATTTGCGCGCCGAGCCACACGCCGTGAAGCATGGGGGACACTTGCTGCATAGTGGTTAGTTGCCGGTTCCTAAATATCGGAAACCTGGATTTGGCGGGAGACGATGCGATTTAACGGCGAAATCCCGAAGTGGCGCGAGGGGTGGTAGGGGAGGAAAACGAGGAGGAGAAATGAGGTGGGGGAGGAACGGAGGGAAAGAATCTAGGATGCCGGCCGTGGGATGTAGGATGTATGATGCAGGATGTCGGAGCGACCGGGAAGCGAATGTTGACGCGGATTTCCGCTGAAGTGATTGAAGAGAGCGACGACGGACTGAGACGAGAAATTAGAGGAGTAAGGAATTTTCTTGCTGAATGTCCAGGGTCAGTAGGAATAGCGCGTATTTGAAAAGAAAATGCGGCGCCGGGCCGGCGAAACAACCCTTGCAGAAATTAGACGCGCCTATTTGAAAGCCTGAAGGAAAAGGCTCGTAAATTTGGAGACTCGAAAGGGACCTGCGACCAGCGAAAGACAGCCAGCCTACAAGCACGTAGGGTCTGTCGATTGGCCTTCACGACCAGCGGATTCCGGGAGCTTTTGGAGGCAATTAACTCCCGCATTCAACGGCAGACCGCCACGCACGCTAAAGGATTAGACCTGGACTGGACCACAATGCGGTGTTGGTGGGATGCGGTCTGAATTTCCTCCTGCTGCTGGAGGGGCTGGGGGTGGTGGTGGTTGGTTGGTTGGGAGAACAGGGAGGGGAGGGGAGGGGAGGGGAGGGAGGTTGACGGGTGGGGGAGCAGCCATGTCTGGGGCGAATGAGAAAAGGTGGAAGGGGAGGAGTGGGGAGGAGAGGTGAGGAGGATATGGCAAGCAGCGAGGAGGATAGGGGCGCTATCCTGTTCAGGTACTGTTCAGTTTTGAACCGAAGAACTGTATTTCATGGAGAACCGAAAGATCACGAGGGAAGCACAGGTCAGAGGGACTGGGGCGGGCAGCTTGGTGAGGATCAGCAGGTCAGTCAAGCTGCATTTGTTTATGCTGATTGGCAGGTGGGAATGTTTTTGCGGCTGGACTGATAACATTTTGCGTGGAAGTGGCCCGGACTTGAATCGATGCGGAGCAAATGTGGATTTTGACTCCAATCGCGTGGCTCTGGCTGGTCCAAGATTTTTCGTATTCGAACCGGCTAAGCCCCGCCTGACAGAAAAGATTTTTGCTTCGCGCGCACATCGCCACAGGGTTTGTCAGGCTCTGCGCCAAGTCGAGATAGCCTCTTGGATGCGCGCAGCACGGGGTAGACTGGACATGCAGAGACCGCAACCCTCCGCGCCCCAACCACGAAAAATGAGGCGCTGAGGGGACTTGCGCTGCAGAGGATCTCCGCCGTGGCAAGGGTCAGCGGGGCCAGTGGAGCTGACGTGTGATTACGTGGCAAGGCGTTGGATAGGGCACGGCAGGAGGAAAGCCCGCAAGATTGGATAATGTTGGGTGCGATGCGCGGTAACTTCAGGAGTGAAGCGAACCCCCAGCAGCACCACCTAAAACTGCTAAGGGCAGATAAACAAACACTCTGCCCCAACTTTGACTGTTGCTGCTCGTACTCTAAGGCGTGGCACAAATTTCTAGCTTGGCTGCAGTTGGCGATATTAGACCGACCAAATAACCTCCCGATTGGTCACGATGGCTTCAGCGAAAAGAATTTCTTGGCAATTGGTCGTTATGGCGTTGGCGAAATACCTTCGCGAGCTTCGCTTGAGAGGCACCATCGTGTATCGTTTTGTGTGCCGCGTCCTCGATTTATGCGGGATACCCTGACCGTCTTCAAGTGCTGGTGGTCAGCAGCGCACAATCTGGCGGCGAATTTTTACACCCACCTGTTAGATTTGGCAGAAGACCTGTCATAAAATACAGTTCTTGATGATGCTTGCTAATGTACAGTAGAGACCACGTATGAGAATGCTGTTCCATAACTTCACCTACAATATAGCCAAAGTAAAAATTTCAGCCACATGCCTAAACAAATCAATACAAAATCTCATCAATGGAGATGAATCCAATAACGAGAATAGCCAGTAACACTAGCGAAGTGACCCATGATGGACTGCGGAAGGGCGAGGCGTGCTGATTGAGAGGATGTGGCTCATAGCGACGAGCCGAGTCATCCAAACCCTGTGGTAACTCTTGATTTAAAATGCTGTAAGTTGAAAGGGGGTGGAAATAATCATAAGGGGGGACAAGGGTTAACGCAGGTTTAACTCTAAATCCCATATCGCACACTAAAAAGTGAAGGATATTTCCCATCACCCCCAACAGGTTATCGCACTCACCATCGTGACCGATACACAAGGCATGCCGGTATGATGAACATGACAGCTGCTCCCGCATATGCTCCTGTGGCTCCCACCAAGGAATTCACGTTCACCCCATTGTGCTGCCGGTGGGGTCGGGGGGGGGGGGGGGGGAGGGAGAGAGGGAAAGAAGGTGAGGAACAGAGCAACAACAGGCGAGGAACAGAGAGGAAGGGAGGGGTGACTGCTGCTTCCGGGCGTGTGCTCCATCACAAAATGGTGCTGCAAGGAGGGGGTGGGGGGACAGGAAAGAAGGTGGTGGTGAGGAACAGAGGAACAACGGGTGAAAAACAGAGGAGAGAATCTAGCGGAGGAGTGAGAGAGAATGGAAAGGAAGGGTCAGGGAAGGGAAAGGGTGGGAGGGAGGGATGGAAGGAAAAAGAGAGGGTGTGAAAGGCGAACAGCATCATCACAACCACACACCTGTGACCCATCACTCTTTCCCACACCCCTTCACCACCACCATCCCACTTCCTTCCATCACCCCTTCCTTCCGCCTCCTACCTCAGCGACCCAGCACAGCATGCAGTAGCTGGCACAGTCTCGTACGATTCAAGACGTCTCACAACGGACTTACTATCTCACGTGGTACTGTCTATGTCTTTCCATCACCCCAGGCGCCTCAAAGATAGAATCGTTTCCTTCCATCACCCCTTCCCCCTCCTACCTCGGCAATCACACAGCATGCAATCGGTGGCACCGTGGCCAGCAGCGTCACAAACACTCGTCTCCACGCCGCCCCTTTCTTCTCTTTAGCCGGCACACGCAGAGCCTTCTCCCCAATCCCCCCTCCCCCCCCTCCGCTGCCCCCAACGGGGCCGTCGGAAAAGCGGGAGGCACGGGGGGGGAGGCGGGGGGAGAAGGCGGGGGCGGCGGGGAGGAGAGAGGAGCCCTTGGGAAAGAGGAGGGTGAGGAGAGTGTCGAGGTTGTTGCGCAGGGTGATAGTGAGCATGGGGTAGTTGGACGATAGGGTTACCACTGCGGGCGCGACGGGGGGTTGATAAAGGGTGAGAGGATGTGGCTCGTGGAGCATTTTAGACAACATGCACAAAACGCACGCATGCATGACGAAATATGTGACAGGTTTCACAACGCACGGCACACAACACGATGCATGCATGCATGCATGAAGGATGTATCAAGGACTTTGCAGGTTAAAGCCCAAGTACCAAGTTGCTAGAATCGAGCATCAAATCTATTAGGTATGAAAGTCCCCAATTTTGGCGAGCTGGAAAAGTGTCGCACAAACTGTCGAAACGGATTGGGGGGGGTTTTGGGCTGGATTGCTGAAATTCGCCACTTCGTCTAAATTTTTTCCTGCCTTGCTACGCTTGGCAACCAACTCCCCCACACAACCCTGAACAACCCTTGTGTCCAGATAGCATCAAACCTAATTGGTTCGAACAACCTGAAGAGAGAAACGATATAGCACTGGGCCGGTGACTCTGTGCTTCGTGCGTATTGTGTCTGTGCGTTGTGTGTCTGTACTTTTCATGTCTGTGCAAGGGCGGACCTGGGAACAGGAAGAGCAGGTCGCCAATCCAGCCGAACTTGGCAGGAGAGAAGTTAAATGTGATGGGGTCCTCTGCCCCAACGCCTGCAGCACACACACAGGCACACACACATGCACACACACACAGGTACGCACACAGGTACGCACAAAGAACCGCAATGCACACACTTGCACTAGCAATAGGAGCATACACGTGCTCAAGCTCACGCCCACGTGTTCCCACGCTCACACGTGCTCGGTACCTTCAGCCACTCTGCGCGTCTCCCTTGCTCCATGCAGTCAGAGAACGAGAAAGCCAACCCTCCCAACCCTCCAACCACTCTCCCTTTGCAACTCTAGCAAGCAACCTATTCCAAGCTCCCCTCCTCAGCATTATTCTCCAGTTCTCTTTGTTCAGATTCTTTAGGATAGACGACCCCCTGCTCACCCTTCTGAGCCACCCTTCCCTCCGTCCGTCCGTCCGTCTGTCCGTCCGTCCGTCCGTCCGTCCGTCCGTCCATCCGTCCATCCCTCCCTCCATCCATCCCCCTCACCGAAGGCGATGCCGCAGGAGAGGAAGAGCAGGAGGTAAAGCAGGAAGACGCCCAGGAAGGCCGACAAGAGCACCCGGGGGATGAACGCCTTCTCCCTCATCGGCGTGATGATGCCGGGCAAACTTGGGGAGGGGAGGGGGAAGGGGGGGACAAGGGGTGAGGGGAGAGGGGCGAGGGGAGAGGTGTGAGGGGAGGGGGGCGAGGGAAGGGGGGGGAGGAGGGGCATGGGGAAGAGGGGGACGAGGAAGAAGATGGATGGGGGCGGATAGCAGCACCCGGGGGATGAACGCCTTCTCCCCCATCGGCGTGATGATGCCAGGCAGACTGGGGGGGGGGGGTGCGGAGGGGGAAGGGGGGGACAAGGGGTGAGGGGAGAGGGACGGGAGGAGGGGGAGAGGGGAGGGGCATGGGATGGGGAAGAGCGGGACGAGGGAGAAGGGGGAGAGGGGAGGAAAGCAGTACCAGGGGGATGCATTGATGTGACGACCCTGGGCAGACAGGGGTAGGGGGAGGAGGAGAGGGGGGGGGGGGAAGGGGGCAGGAGGGGAAGTGGGGGATAAAGAGGCGAAGGGAGGGGGGCGATGAGAGAGGGCAAGGGATGGAGAAGATGGGGAAACATAGGATTCGATCCGCAGCAAGCCTCCTAAGAGTAGATCTAAGACTAGAACTAAGATCTAACAGCGAGAAAGGTAAGAGGGCAAGATGCGAGAGGGCAAGGGATGGAGAAGGTTGAATGGATGAAAGAAGAGAGGAGAGGAGAGGAGATGTAGGAGGGGAGCCGACAAGAGCACGAAACGACACAAGGCATTACAAAGCCAAGGTGTTACAAAGCCAAGGTGCTACAAAGCCAAAGTGTTGCAAAGCCAAGGTGTTACAAAGCCAAGGTGTTGCAAAGCCAAGGTGTTGCAAAGCCAAGGGGTTACAAAGCCAAGGCGTTACAAAGCCAAGGCGCTACAAAGCCAAGGCGTTACAAAGCCAAGGCGTTACAAAGCCAAGGCGCTACAAAGCCAAGGCGTTACAAAGCCAAGGCGCTACAAAGCCAAGGTGTTACAAAGCCAAGGTGTTACAAAGCCAAGGTGTTACAAAGCCAAGGTGTTACAAAGCCAAGGTGTTGCAAAGCCAAGGTGTTACAAAGCCAAGGTGTTGCAAAGCCAAGGCGTTACAAAGCCAAGGCAAGCCAAGGCGTTACAAAGCCAAGGCGCTACAAAGCCAAGGCGTTACAAAGCCAAGGCGTTACAAAGCCAAGGTGCTACAAAGCCAAGGTGTTACAAAGCCAAGGCGCTACAAAGCCAAGGCATTACAAAGCCAAGGCGCTACAAAGCCAAGGCGTTACAAAGCCAAGGCGTTACAAAGCCAAGGCGTTAAAAAGCCAAGGCGTTACAACGCCAAGGCGTTACAACGCCAAGGCGTTACAAAGCCAAGGCGTTACAAAGCCAAGGCGCTACAAAGCCAAGGCGCTACAAAGCCAAGGCGCTACAAAGCCAAGGCGTTACAAAGCCAAGGCGTTACAAAGCCAAGGCGTTAAAAAGCCAAGGCGTTACAACGCCAAGGCGTTACAAAGCCAAGGCGTTACAAAGCCAAGGCGCTACAAAGCCAAGGCGTTACAAAGCCAAGGCGTTACAAAGCCACGGCGTTACAAAGTCATGGTGTTACGATGCCACGGTGTTACGATGTCACGGCACTGACCTGTGGTGGCACATGAAGGCATACACGGCCCCACCAAAGAGGTTAGGCAGAGCCCTGGAGACGAAAGGGAGGGGCGTTGGAATGGGGGGAGGGGAGTTGGAAAGGGAGGATAGCAGGGGGTAGAGCGAGGGGATGGCAGAGGGTAGAGGGAGGGAGGGTAACAGGGAGTAGAACACAGTTGAAGGGAAGGAAGGAAAGCAAGCAATTGAACAAGCAGGACCTTTCTTCGGCACAGGGAGGGCGGGGGGGCGGGCGGGAGGGATGCAGCTAGCGAGCTTACCCAATTCTAAAGTTGGGAACTCCTGTGGTGCGCGGCCCTTCGTTGTATGCCACCCATGCGGCGATGATGATCATGCTGGGTGGGATAACGGCACACATAGGCACACACAGGCACACACAGGCACATGGCGGGTGTAAGTAGTTCAGTTTTGAGACGTCTCGAAACTAATGGCACACACAGGCAAAGGCAGGGATGCCAAAATATCATGTTACACAAGCACAGGGTGTGAGGCATGCGGCGCAAACACGCAGGGAGCCAGAGGCACACACACACGCAGGGCGGAAAGGGACGTTCGCATGTCGACACGGGGGGTGACTTGTTCGCAAGAGAGGGAGGTGGGGGGTACACAACAAAAGGGAAGGTAGGCTGGAGGAGAGGGGCGAAGGGGGGAGGGAGGAGAGGGGCGAAGGCGGGAGGGAGGAGAGGGGCGAAGGCGGGAGTGAGGAGAGGGGCGAAGGCGGGAGGGAGGAGAGGGGCGAAGGCGGGAGGGAGGAGAGGGGCGAAGGCGGGAGGGAGCAGAGGGGCGAAGGCGGGAGTGAGGAGAGGGGCGAGGCGGGAGGGAGGAGAGGGGCGAAGGCGGGAGGGAGGAGGGGGCGAAGGCGGGAGGAGGAGAGGGAGAAGGCGGGAGGGAGGAGAGGGGCGAAGGCGGGAGGGAGGAGAGGGGCGAAGGCGGGAGGGAGGAGAGGGCGAAGGCGGGAGGGAGGAGAGGGCGAAGGCGGGAGGGAGGAGAGGGGCGAAGGCGGAGGGAGGAGAGGGGCGAAGGCGGGAGGGAGGAGAGGGGCGAAGGCGGGAGGGAGGAGAGGGGCGAAGGCGGGAGGGAGGAGAGGGCGAAGGCGGGAGGAGGGAGGGGCGAAGGCGGGAGGGAGGAGAGGGCGAGGCAGAGGGAGGAGAGGGGCGAAGGCGGGAGGGAGGAGAGGGGCGAAGGCGAGAGGGAGGAGAGGGGCGAAGGCGGGAGGGAGGAGAGGGGCGGGAAGGCGGGAGGGAGGAGAGGGGCGAAGGCGGGAGGGAGGAGAGGGGCGAAGGGGGGAGGGAGGAGAGGGGCGAAGGCGGGAGGGAGGAGAGGGGCGAAGGCGGGAGGGAGGAGAGGGGCGAAGGCGGGAGGGAGGAGAGGGCGAAGGCGGGAGGGAGGAGAGGGGCGAAGGCGGGAGGGAGGAGAGGGGCGAAGGCGGGAGGGAGGAGAGGGGCGAAGGCGGGAGGGAGGAGAGGGGGCGAAGGCGGGGAGGGAGGAGAGGGGCGAAGGCGGGAGGGAGGAGAGGGGCGAAGGCGGGAGGGAGGAGAGGGGCGAAGGCGGGAGGGAGGAGAGGGGCGAAGGCGGGAGGGAGGAGAGGGGCGAAGGCGGGAGGGAGGAGAGGGGCGAAGGCGGGAGGGAGGAGAGGGGCGAAGGCGGGAGGGAGGAGAGGGCGAAGGCGGGAGGGAGGAGAGGGCGAAGGCGGGAGGGAGGAGAGGGGCGAAGGCGGGAGGGAGGAGAGGGGCGAAGGCGGGAGGGAGGAGAGGGGCGAAGGCGGGAGGGAGGAGAGGGGCGAAGGGGAGGGAGGAGTGGGGCGAAGGCGGGAGGGAGGAGAGGGGCGAAGGCGGGAGGGAGGAGAGGGCGAAGGCGGAGGGAGGGAGAGGGGCGAAGGGGGAGGAGGAGGGGGCGAAGGCGGGAGGGAGGAGAGGGGCGAAGGCGGGAGGGAGGAGAGGGGCGAAGGCGGAGGGAGGAGAGGGGCGAAGGGGAGGAGGAGAGGGCGAAGGCGGGAGGGAGGAGAGGGGCGAAGGCGGGAGGGAGGAGAGGGGCGAAGGCGGGAGGGAGGAGAGGGGCGAAGGCGGGAGGGAGGAGAGGGGCGAAGGCGGGAGGGAGGAGAGGGGCGAAGGCGGAGGGAGGAGAGGGGCGAAGGCGGGAGGGAGGAGAGGGCGAAGGCGGAGGGGAGGAGAGGGGCGAAGGCGGGAGGGAGGAGAGGGGCGAAGGCGGAGAGGGAGGAGAGGGCGAAGGCGGGAGGGAGGAGAGGGGCGAAGGCGGGGAGGGAGGAGAGGGCGAAAGGCGGGAGGGAGGAGAGGGGCGAAGGCGGGAGGGGAGGAGAGGGGCGAAGGCGGGAGGGAGGAGAGGGCGCGAAGGCGGGAGGAGGAGAGGGCGAAGGCGGGAGGGAGGAGAGGGGCGAAGGCGGGAGTGGAGGAGAGGGCGAAGGCGGGAGGGAGGAGAGGGGCGAAGGCGGGAGGGAGGAGAGGGCGAAGGCGGGAGGGAGGAGAGGGGCGAAGGCGGGAGGGAGGAGAGGGGCGGAAGGCGGGAGGGAGGAGAGGGGCGAAGGCGGGAGGGGAGGAGAGGGGCGAAGGCGGGAGGGAGGAGAGGGGCGAAGGCGGGAGGAGGAGAGGGGGAAGGCGGGGGGGGAGAGGGGCGAAGGCGGGAGGGAGGAGAGGGGCGAAGGCGGAGAGGGAGGAGAGGGGCGAAGGCGGGAGGGAGGAGAAGGGGCGAAGGCGGGAGGGAGGAGAGGGGCGAAGGCGGGAGGGAGGAGAGGGGCGAAGGCGGGGGAGGGGAGGAGGAGGGGGCGAAGGCGGAGGGAGGAGAGGGGCGAAGGCGGGAGGGAGGAGAGGGGCGAAGGCGGGAGGGAGGAGAGGGGCGAAGGCGGGAGGGAGGAGAGGGGCGAAGGCGGGAGGGAGGAGAGGGGCGAAGGCGGAGGGAGGAGAGGGGCGAAAGGCGGGGAGGGAGGAGAGGGGCGAAGGCGGGAGGGGAGGAGAGGGGCGAAGGCGGGAGGGAGGAGAGGGGCGAAGGCGGGAGGGAGGAGAGGGGGCGAAGGCGGGAGGGAGGAGAGGGGGCGAAGGCGGGAGGGAGGAGAGGGCGGCGAAGGGCGGGAGGGAAGGGGAGAGGGGCGAAGGCGGGGAGGGAGGAGAGGGGCGAAGGCGGGAGGGAGGAGAGGGGCGAAGGCGGGAGGGAGGAGAGGGGCGAAGGCGGGAGGGAGGAGAGGGGCGAAGGCGGGAGGGAGGAGAGGGGCGAAGGCGGGAGGGAGGAGAGGGGCGAAGGCGGGAGGGAGGAGAGGGGCGAAGGCGGGAGGGAGGAGAGGGGCGAAGGCGGGAGGGAGGAGAGGGGCGAAGGCGGGAGGGAGGAGAGGGGCGAAGGCGGGAGGGAGGAGAGGGGGGAAGGCGGGAGGGAGGAGAGGGGCGAAGGCGGGAGGGAGGAGAGGGGCGAAGGCGGGAGGGAGGAGAGGGGCGAAGGCGGGAGGGAGGAGAGGGGCGAAGGCGGGAGGGAGGGAGGGGCGAGGCGGGAGGGAGGAGAGGGGCGAAGGCGGGAGGGAGGAGAGGGCGAAGGCGGGAGGGAGGAGAGGGGGCGAAGGCGGGAGGGAGGAGAGGGGCGAAGGCGGGAGGGGAGGGGGCGAGGCGGGAGGAGGAGGGGCGAAGGCGGGAGGGAGGAGAGGGCGAAGGTCGGGAGGGAGGAGAGGGGCGAAGGCGGGAGGGAGGAGAGGGGCGAAGGCGGGAGGGAGGAGAGGGGCGAAGGCGGGAGGGAGGAGAGGGGCGAAGGCGGGAGGGAGGAGAGGGGCGAAGGCGGGAGGGAGGAGAGGGGCGAAGGCGGGAGGGAGGAGAGGGGCGAAGGCGGGAGGGAGGAGAGGGGCGAAGGCGGGAGGGAGGAGAGGGGCGAAGGCGGGGAGGGAGGGAGAGGGGCGAAGGCGGAGGGAGGAGAGGGCGAAGGCGGGAGGGAGGAGAGGGGCGAAGGCGGGAGGAGGAGAGGGGCGAAGGGGGGAGGGAGGAGGGGCGAAGGCGGGAGGGAGGAGAGGGGCGAAGGCGGGAGGGAGGAGAGGGGCGAAGGCGGGGAGAGGGGAGGAGAGGGGCGAAGGCGGGAGGGAGGAGAGGGGCGAAGGCGGGAGGGAGGAGAGGGAGCGAAGGCGGGGGGAGGGGGGGGGGGGAGGAGGAGAGGGGCGAAGGGGAGAGAGGGGGAAGGAGAGGGGCGAAGGGGAGAGGGAGGAGAGGGGCGAAGGGGAGAGGGAAGAGAGGGGCGAAGGGGAGAGGAGATGGAAGAATATCGGGGAGAGAGCGTGTAGAGAAGCGGGAGGAGTAGGGGGCGTGGGCGGGATGGGGGGATGGGAGGAGGGGGGTGGGTGTAAAGTGGGAGGGAGTAGGAAAGAGAAGGAGAGAAAGGTTGTGCGGAGCGTGGTTGAAGATGAAAAGAAGGTGATTAAAAGAGAGGAAAGAGATGCTTACGTTGAAATAGCAGCGTTTCGAATGACCTGGCCATGCCACAGTACAGCAGAAGGTGTTTCAATGGGAAAAAGAGGAGGCAGCGCAGAGGGCAAGAGAGAAGAGAGGATAATGAGTTTTCGCAAGCCCGTCACAGGCAGTGAGGGTCATAGGCAGTGAAGGGAATGCAGCAGACAAGAGAACAGAAAAACGAGAGGAGTTCCCTATACTCGCCCATGCCCCCATGCCCATCCCCCCATGTCCATCCCCCCATGCCCATCCCCCCATGCCCATCCCCCCATGCCCATCCCCTCATGTTCCGCCCATGCCCCATTCCCCCCCCAGTCCCATTGCCCCCCCTCGCACCATGGTGACTATTTGCAAGGGCTTGGTCTTCTGGAAGTCAAAGAAGCTGGGGGCAGGCGCATGGGGGGATGCACATGGGGAGGGGAGGGGGAGAACCAGGGGATCAATGGAGGGATGTGGATTGGGAGGGGTGCGGGGGAAGAGGCGGGAAGAGGCGGGAAGAAACGGATGACGGGTAGGAAATTGGAGGGGGGTTGGTTCCGGGGGGGGGGGGGGGGGGGGGGGTCGAGCGGCAGAGCAAGGAAGGAAGGATGAGTGAACGGCGGCGCACCAGAAGGGGACGATGACCGCGACAAAGAGCGTGAGGAAGGCGTCAAAGGCCCAGGGCGGGGGGTTTTCGGGGAAGAAAAACGCCACCAGGGAGCGCGGCACAAACGTGCAGTAGATGGCTGCGTCGCCGAATAGGTACAGCTGGGGGTGGGGGGAGGGACAAGGAGGAGGGCGGAGAAAAAGGGGGTTTATCTGTGAGGCGCCTAAAAAATACTCCTAAAAAAAATGCAGTAGATGGCTGTGTTGCCGACAGGTACAGCTGGGGCGGATCAGAACAAGGGCGGGGGAAAAAGGGGGATCCGGAGGGGGTTAGGCGCGGGAGGAGGGGAAGGAGGGGGGTAGAGGGAAGGGGTGGGTGGGGGGAGTGAGTGCTGGAAAGTCCCTATATTTCAGACTGAGCGGTTCTAAAAGAGCCCTCAAATTGATATGCGATAGTTTCTTGTGGCGATGGGTACGTGGGCGTGGCTGAGGGGCGACTCCCACACAATGAGGGCGATGTAGAAGAGGCTGCGCCGCCAGTCGCCTTTTGAGTCGACTCAAAATGCGATTCTAGCAGCTCAACTTGACTGCAATGTTCTTTCAGTGGCGATGGGTGGGTGTGCTGTGGTTGTGTTGTGGTTGAGTTGTGGTTGAGTTGTGGTTGAGCTGTGTTGAGTTGTGTTTGAGTCGAGGGGCGGCTCACTCACAATGAGGGCGATATAGAAGAAGATGCGCCCCCAGTCGCCAAAAAACATGTCCTGTCAGGGGCAGGGGGGGGACACGGAGGGACACAGAGGGGCAGTGGGAGGGCAGTGTGAGGGCAGGGGAGGGGGCAGTGTGAGGGCAGGGAAGGGTCATTAAAAAGCAGTGGAGGGATGCGGTGAACAGGCACGGGAGGAGGGGAGAGGGTGAAAAGGGAGAGATTGACACAGAGGAGTTTGACAGAGATTGACAAGAAAGGACCAATCCTTCATGCAGCTCAAACGTCCAAGTCTCTCACCTCTCACCTCCAGTCACTCACTCACCGCCATCTGAGGCATCTCCACGCGCTGCACGGCCTCAAAACGGCTCTCCAAGTGCGCATCGAGACGAATCAAAACACACACCTTCTCAATTCCCCCCTCCTCCCCCCGCCGCCCCCCGCCACACCACCTAAGCAACCTCTGCATCAGATGAAATTAAGCGCCAACTCAGTCGGATTCTCTCACCGCCCACCATCCGCGGCAGGCATCTGTTGAGTCGAGTCGAGTCGAGTCGAGTCGAGTCGAGTCGAATCAAGTCAACAACGCTTTCTCTCACTCACTCACCGCCATCTGAGCCATCTCCATGCGCTGCACGATCTCAAACGGCCCTCCAACACCACTCCCAACACCACCGCTGCTGCTGCCCTCCGCTCCTCTTCCCCCCCTCTCCCCGCCGGCCCCGCTCCCGCCCCCGCCCCCTCCCCCTCCCCCTCCTGCGCGTGCACTCCCCCCATCACTCTCCGACCCTCCCCCCGCTATCACGCTCGTTTCCCCGTCGCTGATCAGGGGCTCTGTGTCCGAGAGATAGTGCCCGTCCTGCGACTGCCAGCAAATGGGCGGTGGGCAGGGCGGTGGGAAGGGCGGTGGGGAGGGGCACGGGAAGAAGGGACGGGAGGAAAGGAAGGGCGATTTTGAGTCGAGTGGCTGATCAGAGGATTTTTATCCGAGAAATTTTGAGTCGACTCAAAATACACCTGGATTTTTATCCGAGAAATAGTGCACGTACCAAACCCGCCAGCATGGCAGCAGATGAGCGGTGAGGAGGGAGGTGGGGAGACGCAGGGAGAGGAAAGGAGAAAGGGGAGTTTCGAGTCGCATAAAGAAGCAGGGGTGCTGCGCGGTACAGAGAGTGTATACACAGAGTGATAGGGACCGTCCTTCACGGGTAGGGTGGCAGGCAGCTGGTGGAAAGACATGCATATAGGTATCCCAGGAGCTCAGACGGCGGCTCACCTGTGCATGCCGTATGTATATAGTTTAGAGTCGTGTCAAAACAGGTATCACGCACAGGTAACCAAGGACCAAGAACTCAAGGCGCGGCTCACCTGTGCGTGCCGTATGTGGCTGAGAGCATTCGCCGCGGCCATGCTCTCGATCATGAACGTCACTCCCACGAAGCTGCATGGGGGCGCACGGTTGGGCGGGTAGGCAGGTGGGAGGGAGGAGGTTGGGAGATAAGGAGGAAGCAGGAGGTTGGGTGGGAGGGTGGGTGGGAGGTTGGGTGGGGGGTGGGGTACCGACACGTGGAGGATGCATGCGTTTGAGGCGCATCAGAAGAAGCAGCCCTCAACGCCGACGCGGCAATGCTCTCTCGAGCAGGCACGCCACTCCCCACGGAGCCGGCCAGAGGGGGGCTCGAGGAGGAGAGCGAGGGTGACGCGCGGACGGACGGAAGGCATTGGGACGGGCAGGAAGACAGAAGGAACAAAGCAATCCCTGCAATCGGCGCAACAGTGGTGGGCGTGGGGTTTTGAAACGGCTCGAAAGAAAGAAGTGCGGAGACGGGAAGAGACGGCGGGGCGGGAGAGGGGAGGCAGCAGGGGAAGGCGGGAGGTGGAAGAGAAAGGGAGGGGGGGGAGAAAGAAAGATTGGACTTGAGGAGGCGTGAGGGGTGCTGCTAGTTTTGAGGCTGCGACCTACCCGGATTCTCGATTCTCAGGGGAGGAGATCCGCTTTAGAGTCAACTCAAAAGCAGACTCGATTCTCAGGGGAGGAGATCCGCTTTAGAGTCAACTCAAAAGCAGACTCGATTCTCAGGGGAGGAGATCCGTACCTGGTGAATGCGACGAGGAGGAGAAAGAGAGTTCCGAGAACCTGCGGTTGAGGAGCCCCGGAGGAGGGGAGTGGGGGGGAGAGGAACGGGAGGGGCGAAAGGGGGTGGAAAGAGGAACGGCAGAAGGAGGATAAACGAATGGTCATTGAGTAGAGTCTATTTTTGAGGCGCCTCAAAAAGAGGGGGTGGAAAAGACGAACGGCAGAAAGGAGGATAGACGAACGGTCATTGAGTAGAGGGGAAGAGGGAGAGGGCCGAGGATAAGAGAGCGGAGAGAAACGGGAAAGGACGGAGAGGAGGCGGAAAGGGAGGGAGGGAGGGAGGGAGGGAAAGAGGGAGGAGAGGCGACGACAGGAGGGGTGAGGAGAAAATACGGGTATGGAAACCCTGGAGTGCGTGCGCGCTCACCCATCCTCCCGTTGTGAGCACCGACGGGAGAGCGAGGGCGCCCGTGCCCACGATTAGGTTGAACACGTAGCTGCAGGGGGGAGCGCGGGGAAGGCGGGGAGGGCGAGAAGCGCGCGGAGGGCGCGGAGGGCGGGGAGGGCCACGGGATGGCGGAAACGACAAGAGAAGGGGATGTGAGAGGGGGGCAAACGCAGGAGGAACATGCTCTGGACGTGCGGGGAGGGGGAGAAGGCCGGGCGGGGGAGGGATGATGCGAGATCGTACTACGAGAACCAACGACGGGCGTGTCTTCCGGGAGAGGAAACGCTGAGTCGACGTGGAGTGGACGTAGAGGGAGTGAGGGGAGCCGTGCGGGTAGGTGGGAGTGGTGGGGAGGAGCGGAGAAGGACGAAGAGAAAAAAGCTCTGGCAAAGAAAAAGCGCAAGGTAAGGGGATGACAGCCAACAAAAGACGGGCTTTCTCTCGGCTTAGCAATGTCGGCTTAGCAATGTCGGGTTAGCGATCACGGGTTAGCGACGGAAACGGACAAGGCGCCGGCAGTTAAGCGAGCAGAAGCGGGTTTCTCCCTCCAAGCTCACTCTATGGCGGCTGGAAAAAAAAACGCGAGCGGTTAGGCTTGCTGAAACGGGGTTTTTACTCCAAGAAGGTCGAGGCTCACATGAAGGCGATGCGAGGGCTGTAGGTCGAGCCGTCGTCATGATGGCCGGCCGCCATTGACGGCAGAAAATCGTCGGAAACCGCCAGAAACTGTCAGAAGCCGTCGGAAGCCCCGCCAGAAACCGTCAGAAACTGTCGGAAACCGGCTTCAGGAGCTGTTTGCAACAGCGATCCGCAAGACGCTCCGACGACGCACGACGATGCACGACGACGCCTCTCGGAAAACAGTTGAGGGATGTTTCTCAGCGTAACGGTGTTGCAACGAGAGCGGCGGATCTAGGACTTAAGCAGGCGAGTCGAGGACACTACGAGCCGACAAGCCGACGAGAAGTTAAAAACCAGGAATGGCTTTCCCTCTTCCTTGGCACTATGACCAACGGACGATCGGCGACTGATAGACTGATAGCTAAATCGGCTCCTCCGTTATCCCGAGACGCTCGAAGGCCCGACTGATTAAGTGTGACAGGGAACCATTTTCGCGGAGAGAAGCACGACAAGGAGAAGATTCGCGCGGGAAATCGACGCACGGAGCTGCTTCCTCCTTATCTCCCAACCTCCTGCCTCCCTGCCTCCTCCCTACCTCCTCCCTACGGTCCTCTCGACTCCAACGCTCCCACCAGTGCGAGGCACGTCAGCCTAGATTCAAGCAAGTATTTAAGTGCCAAGACCAGATCTGGTCCCTCAAGTCCACCACTGGTCGAGATTCAACCGTGATGGAGAGACCGACCGCAGACAGACCCTCCACCAGACAGGTCAACAATTGGTCAACAGCTCTGGGAGACGGAACCTGGAAACCGGTTTGAAGGGACCTAGACTTCCGACTCTGACCTATGGCGAGGCCATGGCTTGAGCAATAGTTTGAGCAATGGCTCGGGCAATGGCTTGCGCAATGGCTCGGGCAATGGCTTGCGCTATGGCCTGAGAGGATACTGGTGGAGTGCGGAAGTAGAGGAGCTGTTGCAGAGTTAAGAGCTATTTTAGGAGGCCAACCTGCCGTTACCAACAGCAGGGAACAGGAGGTGTTGCTGTTGGTTTCAGGAACCAGGAGGAGCCGAGCTGACAGCACCTGCGTAAACCAAACCAACAGCTGGTCCCGAGCCGAACCCGAAATCTTAAGGCGTGGTTCCTCTAGATCCGCTGGTCGTCCAATGAATTTTTCAGGCTGGTATCCCTTTATCGCAAACTTTTCGTTAACCTAAAGCTGTCTTTGATTGGGTGAAAAACAAAACAAAAACACTCGCACGGTCATTCCGGTGGTCAAACGATCTACATGAACCGGCCCCCCACCTCCGGCCACCCTCCCACACTCCTATCAAACCAGCCATACAAGGGCGTGTCTCGCCTGGTGGCTTCCCAACAGCCTCGTCCTCGCTACTGGCTCCGCAGCGATAAAATGTGACAAATACGAGACCAAACCATAAATTGCCCAGATCACAACATAAAGTGACGAGTTTAAGTCAATATTTTTTCCATCAATTGCCTTGCAATACTACAACATTTAGGCTGAAATAACGTATTCATCGCAGCCTGGCTGACTGATGAACGACTAGCCTATCCAACCACCTTCATTCATTAACTTCCATCTCGGATCAACAAAATGATGACAAAAAAGCAGCCCTCCCCACCCAACTCTTCCCACTTCTCCCAATCTCCCCACCTCCCACACCTCCCCCACAACACCCCCCCTACCCCCCTCTTATCTCTTCCCCCCTCTGACTATCACCCCTCACCTCACCGCCTCCCCTTTCTCCCCCCTCCCTTCTTTTTCCCTCCATCCCCTCCCTTGTCCTTCCCAGCGGCAGCAGCAGCTGCACTTGTCTTCCCTCCCCCCTTCCCACCATCACCATCCCCACTAAGCCCCCCCACCACACCCCCTCCCTCCGCCTTTTCCCCTTTCACCACCGCTGCTCCCTGCGCCCCCCGCACATCCACCTTCCTCTTATCCTTCTTCTTAGGCCGGAAGCTCGACCGCTCTCGCCTCGGCAACCACCGCTCTGGGTCCGGGGGAGGCCCGGGATTCGCAGGATCAAATCCCTTGGGCAGAATCACCTTGCGCTTACGTTTCTTCTTGGCCCGGGCCCTCTCGCTGGCAGCGGCGGCAGCAGAGGCAGCAGCGGACTCGTCGTCTGGAGCGGGGCGCTTGGCGGCCCGAGCGGCGGCGGCAGCAGAGTGGGAGAAAGCGGATGGGCCTGGGCGTTGCAGGAGGGATGAGACGTCCAGGCCTGAAGTCCCGGGCATTGGGGGCAGCTCTGAAGCAAGCTTCTCAGCAGTAGCTGCAGAGGAATTTGGCATGGGGGGGGGGGGGGGGGGAAAGAGGTTTAGGGGAAGGGGAAAAGGGGTGAATGGGAAAGCGGAGACAGGAGAGCTGATGAGTTTACCATGGTGCCTACTTCAATGTCCGCATGGCATGTGACAAGCCGATGCGATATATTAGCGATTCGAGTGCTTCCCATGTGCATCTTACCTTACAACCAAGACATACAGCCACCACGCAAATACTGCTCTAATAAAGGAGCACCATGCCATCAACAGCAGCAGCAGCACGCACCCGCATCACATCCATACCCGGGTCAACTTGAGCAGTGCAGGAGACCAGCCCCGCCAGCGCCTGCGTCTTGAGTGTCTGGGTGGACGCCATCTTCCTCAGCGCCTGCCAGTCATCTGCTGCCCCCTTCACCGCCCCGTGCCGCGCCTTGAACTCCGCTGCTGCACGCAATAGAGACTCGCGGATAGACGCCTGGGGGAGGGGGGGGGCGGGGGGTGAAGGGGAGAAGAAAGGGGGGTGATGGAGCAGGGCGGCGACAAGGAGAAGGGGGGGGAGGGAGGAGGTCAAAGTGGAAAAGCAGTTTTTGATTGGGAACAGCATTGCGGGACAGAGGGTATGGAAGAATGGTGGGGCGCACCAGAGAGAGATAGGCAGAATGTGGGGCGAAAGAAAGCAGGCGGAAGGTGAGAAAGCGGACACGAGAGAGAGAGAGAGAGAGAGAGAGAGAGAGAGAGAGAGAGAGAGAGAGAGAGAGAGAGAGAGAGAGAGAGAGAAGCGAGAGGGACGAGGGGGGGGGAGGGGAGGTTGTGAAGAGGGAGATGGGAGATGGGAAAGATGGTGAGGAGGAGGCGTGACTGAGGAGGTGCAAAGGGAGGGACGCAGAGGAAGGTGGCACAGTAGCGTTTTGGCGTACAAGATCGGTGGCAGAGGAGACATCCATGTGGTTCCGCCACCACTCCACGGCTGCATCCACCACTGCCTCAGCTCCCGCCACGTCCCCGGCTCTCTCCTGCACCGAGCATGCGGAGTCAGGGGGACGAGAGATGGACAGGAATGCACGAGTGGGAGATGTGATGGGACCAAGGCATGAGTGTGCGAGATTGGAGGGATGGAGGCGAGGGGGCAAGAGACGCAGCCATGCCATTGAGCAGCAAAGCTGAGCCTTCACAACATTAACACATCCACACACAAAAACAAAACAACATGCACACACACATTCACAGACACACATAACCAGCAAAATTCCTATCGATAAGCGCACTCACACCTCCCTCCTTCACCCTCGTCCCCCCCGATCCCCGCTAACCCCCGATCCCCGCTAACCCCCGATCCCCGCTAACCCCCGATCCCTGCTAACCCCCGATCCCGCACTCACAATGCCACACCCCAAGCCTCCCCAATTGATACTCTCCCCAGAGCCACTGCCCCTACCAGCACCCCTCTCGCTGCCACCCCCCCATGGCCTTGCATGTCGCCGGAAGTTCCTCATCCCTTACGCATCCCCATGTGTTTGTTGTTGCACCTCCCCTTGGGATCCACGAGCGTTGCCACAGCGGCTGGTCGGTACTGGATGCCCTCCCTCCCTCCACGGCCCCCAGCTCGCCCCCAGCCACCTCCCTCACAGCTACCCCTTGCCATAACCCCGATTGCCAGCTGTCCAATCTCCGGTTGGCCCACCTTGAGGTCCATGAGCGTTGCCACGACGGCTGGCCTGTGCTGGATGCCCTCCACGGCCCCCAGCTAGCTTTTGAGTCGACTCAAAAGCCGGCCTGTGCAGGATGCCCTCCACAGCCCCCAGCTAGCTTTTGAGTCGACTCAAAAGCCGGCCTGTGCAGGATGCCCTCCACAGCCCCCAGCTAGCTTTTGAGTCGACTCAAAAGCCGGCCTGTGCTGGATGCCCTCCACGGCCCCCAGCTAGCTTTTGAGTCGACTCAAAAGCCAGCCTGTGCTGGATGCCCTCCACGGCCCCCAGCTAGCTTTTGGGTCGACTCAAAAGCCGGCCTGTGCTGGAAGCCCTCCACGGCCCCCAGCTAGCTTTTGAGTCGACTCAAAAGCCGGCCTGTGCTGGATGCCCTCCACGGCCCCCAGCTAGCCCCCCAGCCACCTCCCCCAGCCACCTCCCCCACGCCCCATACCCTCAGTCGCTAACCACTGCCCACCTTAAGGTCCATGAGCGTTGCCACAACCGCCGGCCTGTGCTGGATGCCCTCCACGGCCCCCAGCTCGCCTGCCGCCTGCGCCCACTGCCCCGCCATCGCTGCCGCCTGCGCCGACAACAGCCGCGCCGACTGCACGCGACTGTAACCCCCTCCCGCTCCCGCCCCAGCACCCGCACCCGCTCCCCCCGCCGCTTCCCCCCAAGCTGCTGCTGCACCGCCGGTTTCGCTCCCGGAGTCGGCAGGTGCGGTGGCGGGGGAGGCGGCTGCGAGGGATGCGAGGATGGAGGGCACGGCGTCGGTGCGGCCCTCCTTGATGAGCAGCGCCGCGTGCAGCGGCAGGGGGTCCTCGGTGTCGGGTAGCAGGCGCTCCAGACAGGGGAGGGAGGCACGGGCCTGGGCGAAGGGCGAGGGGAGTGGGTGTGCAGGGGAGAGGGGGGGAAGGGAAGGAGAGAGGGGGGAAGGGGAGAGGTGGAGAAGGGGGGAGGGGGAGAAGGGGAGAGGGGAGAGGGCAGAGGGGCAGAGGGGCAGAGGGGCAGAGGGGCAGAGGGGCAGAGGGGCAGAGGGGCAGAGGGGCAGAGGGGCAGAGGGGAGAGGGGGAGAGGGGGAGAGGGGGAGAGGGGGAGAGGGGAGAGGGGGAGAGGGGGAGAGGGGAGAGGGGGAGAGGGGGAGAGGGGAGAGGGGGAGAGGGGGAGAGGGGGAGAGGGGAGGGCAGGAGATGGAGGAGGGACGGCCAGGAAGATTAGCCCGTGTGAGGTCATTATGCACGATGGCAAGATCAGAGACATGAGCTGTGTAACATAACGGAATGTTAAACAGATCATTCTATGCCGGTACCATCCCATCTCACCACATCACATACAAACCAGGGCTAGCGATCTTCCCCCCTCTCTCTCCCTCCCTAACGCCCTCCCATCCCCCCCCCCCCTCTTACCCTCACCCCTCACACCTCACACCTCACCCCTCACACCTCACACCTCACCCCACCCCCCACCCCCATCCTACCCTCACCACCCCCCCCCCACCCCCCCCCCCCCCACCTCGTCCAGCCGGTTAGCGGCCACGAGCAGCAGGAACCTATTGAGCACCACAGCCGCCTTCTGCTTGCGCGACAGCTTCGTCTCCAGGTTCTCCAAAAACACCACCTCCACGCCCTTCCCCTCCCCCTTCCCCTCCCCCTTCCCCCCCTCCTTCCCTGCCTTCCCCTCGCTCTCCTTCACTGCCACCACCCGATCCAGCCTCTTTAACCCATCCACAACATCCCTGGCGCCCCTCAGCGCCAGGAGGTTGGTCACGGCGACAGCAGCGGAGGGCGCGTCAGCGGGCTTGCGCTTGAGGAAGGCGACGTAGCTCTCGAGGGCCTCCATACGGCGCCCCAGCATCTGGTGCGTGTAGGCGAGCTGCACTGTGATGGGGGCGAGCTCGTCCTCAATCTCCTGGGTCGAGAGCTCTTCGTCTATCAACACCTCCTGGCCCACTCTGTGTGGTTGGGGTTGGGGGGGGGAACGGGGGGGGGGGGGGGAGCAGAGAGGGAGGGGCACGCGAATTCGCGCACGCGTACACGCAGGCTTTGAGCTGAGTGGGGGGGCACCATTGGTGCGTGTAGGCGAGCTGCACTGTGATGGGGGCTAGCTCGTTCTCCATCTCCGGGGTCGAGTTGAGAGCTCCTCTTCTATCAACACCTCCTGGCCCACTCTGGGTTTGACAATTTTTGAGGCGCCTCAAAAATGGTCTATCGACACCTCCTGGCCCACTCTGGGTTGGACATGGAGGAAGAAAGTGAGCGGGGGAGAGTGAAAACAGGCAAAATTACTAGTAACACACAGCACAGCACATCCCTCAAGCCAGCACCCCTCTGAATTCCCTTATCACCATCCCCCTCCCCCTCCCCCTCCCCTTCTCTCTCAAACCACCTCCTCCCCCCTCTTCTCCCCCCTCTCGTCCCATTCCCTTCACTCTCCTTTCACTTGCTCTCTCAAATCCCCCGCTCATTCTCTCCCCCAATTCCCCCTCCCCTTCCCCTCACCCTCCCATCACACCCCAATTCGCCCAATTCCCCTTCCCAACACGCCCTTCCCCCCCTCTCTTCCCTCCCCCTCCTCCCTTCCCCCATCCCCTTTTCCCCCCTCCCCTTTTCCCCTTCCCCCCTCCCCCCTCACCTGCGCGCCAGCAGCAGCATCTCCTCCGCAGCCCGGAAATCCCGCATCTCAATCAGCGCGCACGCCGAGTTGTACGCCACGTCAAACGCGTCCCGCGCAGCCACCCTCAGCTGGCTCTCCATGAGCCCCTTCACCTCGGCGCTCCGCCCCCCCATCACATACGCCGCCAGAACGTTCGTCTTAACCTCCAGCTGGGACTGGTCCAGCCGGTGCTTCTTAAACAGCTCTTCGAAGCGGGAGATGCACGCGGCGCTGTCCCCCAGGCGGTACAGCACCTGGCCTTCGAGCTGGAGGGTGTCGGCCGTGCGGTCTATGGAGCGCAGCAGGTCCAGGGAGTCGGAGAGGCGGTTCAGCCGGTACAGGCAGTACGCCTGGCGGGCGGGGGAGGAGGAGGAGGGGGGGGGGAGGGGGGGCGGGGGGCGGGGGCGGGGGAAGGGGAAGAACAGGGGGACAGAGTTGCCATGCGGTCTATGGAGCGCAGGAGGTCCAGGGACTCCGACGGACGATCCAGCCGGTACAGGCAGTACGCCTGGCGGGAACAGGAGTGGAATTGGTAAAGAACAGACGGACAGAGGCCAGGGAGGGAGAGAAGAACAGGAGGAGGAGAGTGGGGAAGGATGTGGCGATGCGGGGGTTGGGAGAGACGGAATACCAAGGGTCTATGGAGGACGCAAGAGATCCGTAGGTGCTTTTTGAGTCGACTCAAAAATCACAAACGGAATACCAAGGGTCTATGGAGGGCGCAAGAGATCCAGGGTCGGAGCGTTGGGCGCCTGCAGCAGCTTGGGCGCGTCGGCACTTGTCGAACCTCCCCTTACTCCAAGTCCAGCTCACTCCCCCACCTTCTCGAACGCCGTATCCGGCGGCGCGATGGGGCGCAGTTTGAGCGCGTCGGCACTTGTCGGAGCTCCCCCTACCTTGCTAACGCGCCTCACCTTCTCGAACGCCATGTCGGGCGGCGCGTTGGGCGCCTGCAGCAGCTTGAGCGCGTCGGCGACGCTGCCGTTCTGGATGAGCGCCACCGCCTTGCACCGCAGCGCGTCCGCATCGCCGGGACTCGCCGCCAGGACTGGCGCGCGCGGGGGGGGAATGGGGGAGAAGGGGGAGCGGGGAAGGTGGGGGAGGAGGGGCAGATGGGAGAGATGGGGGAGATGGAGGAGATGGGGGAAATGGGGGATTGGGGGGATGGAGGAGCGGAAAGTGGGAGGGCAATGCTTAAATAGAGAATTCACGGCGGCGTCTGATGACGATCGATGAGGGCCAGTACGGCAGTAGTCTCGCCGGAGAGTCAGAATAGCACGGAGGCACTGGTCACGGATACGAGTTCAGCTGGTTCTGGAGAATTCTCAGAAACCAGCTTAACTCACTGGTCACTGATACTCGCCACTGATGCTAGCCACTGATGATAGCCACTGATGCTAGCCACTGATGCTAGCCACTGATGCTAGCCACTGATGCTAGCCACTGATGCTAGCCACTGATGCTAACCACTGATGCTAGCCACTGATGCTAGCCACTGATGCTAGCCACTGATGCTAGCCACTGATGCTAGCCACTGATGCTAACCACTGATGCTAGCCACTGATGCTAGCCACTGATGCTAGCCACTGATGCTAGCCACTGATGCTAGCCACTGATGCTAGCCACTGATGCTAGCCACTGATGATAGCCACTGATGCTAGCCACTGATGCTAGCCACTGATGCTAGCCACTGATGCTAGCCACTGATGCTAGCCACTGATGCTAGCCACTGATGCTAGCCACTGATGCTAACCACTGATGCTAGCCACTGATGCTAGCCACTGATGCTAGCCACTGTTGCTAGCCACTGATGCTAGCCACTGATGCTAGCCACTGATGCTAGCCACTGATGCTAACCACTGATGCTAGCCACTGATGCTAGCCACTGATGCTAGCCACTGTTGCTAGCCACTGATGCTAGCCACTGATGCTAGCCACTGATGCTAGCCACTGATGCTAACCACTGATGCTAGCCACTGATGCTAGCCACTGATGCTAGCCACTGATGCTAGCCACTGATGCTAGCCACTGATGCTAGCCACTGATGCTAGCCACTGATGATAGCCACTGATGCTAGCCACTGATGCTAGCCACTGATGCTAGCCACTGATGCTAGCCACTGATGCTAGCCACTGATGCTAGCCACTGATGCTAGCCACTGATGCTAGCCACTGATGCTAGCCACTGATGCTAGCCACTGATGCTAGCCACTGATGCTAGCCACTGATGCTAGCCACTGATGCTAGCCACTGATGCTAGCCACTGATGCTAGCCACTGATGCTAGCCACTGATGCTAGCCACTGATGCTAGCCACTGATGCTAGCCACTGATGCTAGCCACTGATGCTAGCCACTGATGCTAGCCACTGATGCTAGCCACTGATGCTAGCCACTGTTGCTAGCCACTGATGCTAGCCACTGATGCTAGCCACTGATGCTAGCCACTGATGCTAACCACTGATGCTAGCCACTGATGCTAGCCACTGATGCTAGCCACTGTTGCTAGCCACTGATGCTAGCCACTGATGCTAGCCACTGATGCTAGCCACTGATGCTAACCACTGATGCTAGCCACTGATGCTAGCCACTGATGCTAGCCACTGATGCTAGCCACTGATGCTAGCCACTGATGCTAGCCACTGATGCTAGCCACTGATGATAGCCACTGATGCTAGCCACTGATGCTAGCCACTGATGCTAGCCACTGATGCTAGCCACTGATGCTAGCCACTGATGCTAGCCACTGATGCTAGCCACTGATGCTAGCCACTGATGCTAGCCACTGATGCTAGCCACTGATGCTAGCCACTGATGCTAGCCACTGATGCTAGCCACTGATGCTAGCCACTGATGCTAGCCACTGATGCTAGCCACTGATGCTAGCCACTGATGCTAGCCACTGATGCTAGCCACTGATGCTAGCCACTGATACTCGTCATTAGTCGAACATAATTACCTAACCGCCTCAGAAACAGATCGCCACGTCAGCATAGCCGAGATCTTGGACGAATCCCCGATGCTGCTCGCGTTCGATGCGAATCAAGAGTTTGCCTCTCCGCTGCTAAAAACCCTAATTCACCCAGCCGTAACAGCCGTAACAGCGACTGCGGTAAAGCGCGATCTAATTCAGTAACCATCGACAATAAAAAAACATCAAGTCTACGGAGGTAAACAAAATGGCGACGCCACAAAGGGGCCGGTAAGACCAGTCGACAGGTCTCTAGAGACAAAACGGTGAGGCGATGAGGGATGAACGAGCCATACTCTCATCTGCCGTTTTCACGACGCGCGAAAATTCGCTCTTGCGAATGTGTCCCTCGAGCTTCGAGAATAGTTCCTCCACGCCCGGCCCTTCCCCCGATCCCGCCGATCGCCCCGAAGCCGACTTCCCCGGAGTGGCCTGTCCGCCGTCCTTTCCGCCGCCTCCGCCAGCGGCCACCCCGCCTCCGGAAGCCTTGGCGGCCCCCCCTCCTTTCTTCTTATTCTTTCCAGCCATTTTGCGGCGCGCGTCTCATGCGACGCCGGCGGATCGCGCGCGGGAAATGAGGGATCGTATGTGAATATTAGGGGAGGACGGGTGAGGAGAATCCAAGAGGGAGGTTGTGATGCTGCGAGGACCTGGGGTCGGGGGTGCACGGACATGTCCTCCGTATTGTGTACTTCTACAATAGGCGGTAAGATGCGGTATGACTATCCTCCTAATTCTCAAATTCAATGGTACGAAATCAACTTGAAAGCACATACCAAGATTTTGGCGTAGTATATGATATACCACAAAAATGAGATTTTGCACCAAAACAATGTGCCTCTAATTTTTTTTATCAAAGCTATCCATAATCCACTGTGCATACGACGTCCAGCCTGATTTTATAAAAATGAATGGCTTTGTTTCTCTGGAAATCGGGGTCATTTTTTAAAACCACTCTGATGGTCCTGGGTAATTTTTTGAAAGTATATGTTTTCTCTTATTTATCAGAGTTGGCCTATGTACCACCCTAAGGGATTTTCAATACGGGGGATACTGTTAAAACTAGAAAAGCTAGGCAGCCATGAAAGTAAGCGAAAGGGTTTAGGAAGGGACCAAAAGTTACGAGAGAAAAGGGGTGGAGATAAGAAGAGAGAGGGATACAAGGAGGGGGTTGTACCCTCTACAATAGGTTTCAGTAACACCTACCAAGCCTACAATTATATATAACCTAAATAATTTAACACACCCCCTAGGCTTGGTAGTCTCAAGCCCACCCAACACCCAACACCCCCAAGCTCGTGCACCCCCCAGGTCCTGCAGCAGGAGAGGCTGCTATCCCTCGTGCGAGGCGGCGCCACCCCCAGCGTGTGGCGGCAACGGCGGTGGCGGCGGCAGCGTCGACGGCGGGCGGCGGCGACGGCGGCACGGCGGTGGCGGCGGCAGCAGCGTTGACGACGGCGGCGGCGACGGCGGCGGCGACGGCGGCGGAGACGGCAAAACTCGCGACGCCCGGCGACGATCGGGAACTCAGCATCTGCGGCTGGAACTAGGGGTGGTGCAGGGGAGGTGGGGTTGCGTCAGCAAGGCGCCGTGGCTTACACGGCGCTGGCTGATGTAAGGGCGAGCTGGCGGCGCCTAAAACGACGTGCGGCCTGTTGCCGCCCGTCGACGCCGCCATAGAAGCATGACGACGGCGCCACAGCGCGGCGTCGATGCCGCGACGGCACGTCGACGCTGCCGCGGCAGCACGACAACATCGCCACGGCATGGCAGCTCGACACGGCAACGCGTCGGGGCTGCGACGGCAGCACCACGAAGCCCGCCATGGCAGCTCGGCACGGCCGCCACGGCGGCACGGAAGGGACGAAAGAAGAGCAAGTACGCGGCGGAAGCATGGGGAGTAGGCCGTGAGGGGCAACCTGCTCTGGTACCATGTTAAAACTAGAAAAGCTAGGCGGCCATGAAAGTAGGCGAGAGGGTTTAGGAAGGGACCAACAGTTACGAGACAAAAGGGGTGGAGATTAGAAGAGAGAGGGATACAAGGAGGGGATTGTACCTTGTACAGTAGGTTTCAGTTCACCTACCAAGCCTACAATTATATATAACCTATACAATTTAACAGATACTCCCGGATTTTCCCCTGTACTCCCTGTATTCGGTAGAGTCCTCCGGCTGCCAGTCACACCCCTCCCATACCCCACGCAACTTGGATGATTTTGGCGAAGTCCTCCGCAACCAGTCACACCCCTCCTCATACCCCCCGCAACCTGGAAATTTTTGGCGAAGTCCTCCGCAACCAATCACAACCCTCTTATAATCCCACCAGCCCAGGCACATTCCTCCTTCCCGCACCCAACCCAACCTAACCCAGCTGTGATCAGTGCTGTTAGAAGTGCCCTTTCCGTCAGCCATGCTAATTTTTATGCATGTAAAGACCGTAGCTGTCGCCACACATCAAAGGTAATTGGTACAGCACATGCGCCAGCCAATCACGGGCATGCTATTTCTGCACACTTGGCTCCCACACAAATCTGAGCCAATTTTGACAGCTCAGCCAAGATTGGCTGTCGCCGTTTCTTACGTGAAAGACCTGCCAACGCAAATAGCAGTGGTGATTGTGTACTTCGAAAACGCAGGCAGCCCATCGGAAAAAATTGGCAGCAAACGCCAAAATGTGGTACTTGCAGCACGTCCTCAGCATGTTTTTTTACTGTATGGGGCAGATTTCGGCCGTAAATCTCTATATATTTGCACATTTCAGCATTCATTCAGTACAAGTTTTGCGCATGGTTTTGAAGGGATTGTATTTAGGGAACACACCTAGAAAAAAAGTGAGCATTTCTGGCCGCTTGTCAAGGTTCTATTCTAGTCAGGTGGAGCGTGCACGGCTCTTAACCGCTCTAATCAGGCACGCAAAACTCTCAAACGCTCTGGAAGTTGGACTAGCGGCCAGAAACGCACCCTAATGCGGCTTGGAACGCATCTCGCATAGGGCAGAATGGTGCGTTCAATGGGCCTGTAGATGGACACGTGGTGTTTAATGAATGGGCGGTTCTGTCACAGGATCGAATGTGTCGAGGAAAGGTTGCACTATCGATCGGTACAAGGCGCTTTTATACTTCCAGAGTACATCAGGTAACCAGGTTTATCTTATCCTAAGGGAATAGACCCTTCTAGAAGATAGAATCACCCTGCGTATAGCCACGTGAGGCTATTGGCTTTAAGGGATTACGGCAGGATTACGCTGGATAACGTCTCTAGTACATTCCATGCCTGGTCGGTGATATAATTATAATAAAGGAAGAGACCAAAGGATAATGGAAAATGGAAAATAGGAAACCAAATGAGATGCGGTAAAACGAGAAATGAAAAGGGAAGGAAATAAGAAAAGGCCAAGTGGTGTAACGGGGTCGTACTCTCACACTTCCCCCCTCAAAGCTGGGTGGTAGAAGTAACACCCTGCTTGACAAGGTAGTCATGCAGAGGACGACGGGCGTTACCCATGTCGGACTCAGGTACCCAGCTATCCTCAGAAGGATCATAACCCTTCCAACGGATAAGAAGCTCCACGGTGCCATTCCGACGACGGCGGTGTGCGAGCACGGACTCGACCTCGTACTCGGGTTCATTCTGGACGAGGACGGGCGGTGGCGGCGGCGGTTGGCGTCCGACGAAAATTGTGTTCGGGTCCCGATAGGGCTTCAGAAGTTGGACGTGGAAGGCGTTGTGAATCTTCCAGGTAGCTCGCAGGCGTAAGCGGAAGGTAACAGGGGTGACCTGTGCTTCAACGAGGAAAGGCCCGCAGAAGCGAGGTCGAAGTTTAGATGGGAGATGGCTGATGTCCAGGTTGCGGGTGTCGAGGAGCACCTGGTCTCCCACGGAAATGGTGTGGTCGTTGCGATGGCGATCGGCCTGGCGCTTCTGTTGCTGTTGAATGTCAAGGAGGCGCTTATGGGTCCGATCCCAAAGTTGATGCATGGTTGTAATGAAATCATGTGCGGGTTGGACTGTAGGTGATGCTGTCGGTTTTTGTGGTGTGAGTGGGTGGCGTCCGTAGCAGAGGAAGAACGGCGTCTGTCCAGTAGCGGCATGTGTGGCATTGTTGTAAGCAAACTCGAGTACGGGCAGGTGCAAGTCCCATTTGGAGATGTCGTCCTTGCAAGCTGCTCGGAGGAGTTGCTCAACAATTTGGTTGAGGCGCTCGGTCTGTCCGTCTGTCTGCGGATGGTATGCGGATGACATGGCGAGTTTGGTGCCGAGCAGAGACATAAGTTCCTTCCAGAACTTGCTAGTGAACTTGGGGTCTCGGTCGGAGATGAGTGTAGTTGGGATGCCATGCTGTGAGATGATGTGACGAACGAAGAGCTGTGCTGTCTCCTCGGTGCGTGCCGTCGTGTGTGTCGGGATGAAGTGTCCCATTTTGGAGAACTTGTCAATGACGACAAGGATGGCGTCATGACCGCTGGAGGTAGGTGGTAACCCGGTAATGAAGTCCAGGCTAACCACTTGCCATGGTTGTTCTGGGACAGGAAGAGGCTGCAGTAGTCCCGCCTTTTTCTGCTTGCTGCTCTTCATCCGCTGACATGTATCACACGAGGTGACGAATTTCTGGACGTCGTCTGCCATATGGGGCCAGTAGTAGTGTTTGGCGATACCGGTGAGCGTCTTGTTGCTACCGAAGTGTCCGACGTACAGGACGTCGTGGTATTCTTCGAGTAGTAACTGGCGCAAAGGAGGGTAATTGGGTACCCAGATTTTTGTTGATCCTTTCCGGTACGCGATGTCACTGTCCCACTGTAGCAGATGTCGCTTTTCTGCCAAGGAAATTTCGGGGTCGATGGCGTACCCGTGGGTGAAGAGTCCCTTGAGTAGTGGATTCATCCCTTCGACCTGAATCGCGGCAACGTGTGCAGGCCGGCTGAGAGCGTCTGCTTTGTTCTTGTGGCCGGGCTTGTACACGATGTCGTAGTGGAAGTGTGTCTCGAGGAAGTCGATCCACCGGACCTGCCGCCTGGAAAGGTTGGGTTGTGTCTTCAAATATTTCAGGCTGCAGTGGTCGGTGTAGACGGTCGTTCTTCGTCCTTCGAGATAGCATCTCCACGCTTTGAAGGCGATGATGATAGCAAGAGCCTCTTTGTCGTGTATCGGGTAGTTGAGTTCTGCCCCGTGCAGTTTCTTGCTGAGGTAGGCAATTGGTTGCAGTCCATTCCCCTGGTCTTGCATCAAGACTGCACCCACGGCCTGATCACTGGCGTCTGCTTCAATGACGTAGTCACATTCGGGATCTGGCAAGATGAGCACCGGTGCGGACGTTAGTGCTTGTTTCAGCTGCTCCACGGCTTCCTGGTGCTTCGTCTCCCATTTGTAGGGCGTGTTCTTCTTCAGCAGATTCGTGAGTGGTGTCGCGAGTTTCGCATACTGTGGCACGAACCTGTTGTAGTAATTAGCGAAGCCTAGGAACTGCTGCAACTCCTTCACATTCTCGGGTGTCTTCCACGTACGTACGGCTTCGACTTTCTTGGGGTCGACGTGAACTCCTTGAGCGCTCACCAAGTGTCCTAGAAATTGGACTTTCTCCAGGGCGAATTCGCTCTTGGACAGTTTGACGTAGAATCGTTCTCGTCGAAGAATTTCGAAGACGCGTCGCAGGTGTTCGACGTGCTGCTTCATGTCGCGCGAGTAGATGAGTATGTCGTCCAGGTACACCACCACGCATTCGTCCAGAAGTGGTCGTAGAATGTGGTTCATTTCGGCTTGGAACGTTGCCGGCGCGTTGGTGAGTCCGAACGGCATGACCAAATACTCGTACGATCCGTACCGAGTTCGAAAAGCAGTTTTGTGGATAGAGTTGTCCGCCATCCGTATCTGCCAGTATCCGGACCGCAGATCCAGTTTGGAAAATACCGTAGCTCCCCGAAGCTGGTCAAGCAGGTCATCGATTCGCGGTATCGGATATTTATTCTTGATGGTCTGCTTGTTAAGAGCTCGGTAGTCGATGCACATGCGCAGGCTTCCGTCCGGTTTCGGTGTGAAGAGTACTGGGGCACCGTATGGCGAAGTAGATGGTCGGATGAGTCCTTTGGCTAGGAGATACTCGATCTGCTTCTTCATGTCGGTCAGCTCCGTAGGGCTGAGCCGGTATGGTGCTCGGAAGGTCGGCTTCGAACCCGGTTCCTCCACGATCTCGTGTTGATGCGTTCGGTATGGCGGTAGCTCGTTCGGAAGATCGTCAGGAAGAATGTCTTGGAACTCCTTCAGTAATTCCTTGATTTTTTCTGAAGTTTCCGAGGCTTTCTCTCCGTCATTCTCCACCTCTGTTGCTATCGCCAGGAACCCGGTGTCGGTCCGCTTCACATCCTTCTCGAATCGTGCGAGTGTCTCCACTGGGATATCTCCTGTATCGTCCCAGTTGGGTAGCTGTACTCTCCGTCCATTGTTGTAGATGCTTGCGGTGCGGTTCACCCAGTTGATCTCGGGGTTGAATTTTTTCAGGAAGTCTCGCCCGAAGATCAAGTCAAGCCCTTTGATGTTGGTGATGGGGAGTGCAGGTCTCCAGCGCAGTGGTCCGATTTGTAGATGTAGCACTGCTTCGCCGTGTACTGGTAACTTGCTGCCGTCCACCATCGTTGCAGAGAATCCTGAAGGCTTGTACTCTTCCCGGAGTCGGTCGATCATTGCCTTGTCGCAGACGGTGTGTGACGCTCCGCTGTCCACGAGTGCTTGGAGGCGTCGTCCTTTGCAGATGACCTCGAGCACGAGGGGCAGTCGTTGCTCGGAGTACCCAAAGATAGTTTCATTGATTGGGTCATAGGGTACATCCCAATATTCCGTACACACCTTTGTGTTGTTGTCTACTCCTGAGCTGGCAGCTGGCCAAGGCTGCTTGGAGAACGGCTCTTCTCCAGGGCCCGGAGTTTCTTTGACGACTGTGCGCGTCACTGATGCCGAAGAACTGGATGCATCCGTAGAAGGAGTTCGGGGTTTGTGCAGCTTCTTGTAGACCCCCAGCTTCCTCTTGAGCTGCTTCAGCTCCACCGACGTCTTCCCTGGGGAGCGGGTAGTCGTTGTGGGCTGGTGTCGGGAGAGGACGTTGACTCCGTGGAAAGGTCGGCTTCTTTCCACACTCCTTAATTTGGTCCCCAAGTTGTCCGGTACCGGTATAATCTCCACAGCTGTCTGCTTCTTTTGGAGTCCCTCCCGAATTTTCTCCAAGGCTCTAGCCCCTCGAACATCATAAGTTTTCATTAAAGCATCTTTATAAGATAACTTTAACGAATTCTTATAATTTCTTGGGTATTCAAGGAGTTTCCCTGTCTCGGCAGAGTCTTTTTTCGCGGAGTCGTATTTTTCCTCGGCGATTTTCCCTGGCGAAGACTGGTCGTGGGGTGGAGATTTTCCCCCATCATTTCCTCCTTCTCGCGTCGAATCAGCTTCGTCGAAGTTGATTTTTCCGGAATCCCGCGGCCGCTTTCGGATCTTTTTATTTTCGCCAGCTAGATCCGCAATCACTGGCGACTCCCGTTTTTTGTCTTCTGATTGGCCGAAAGATTTCCGCCACTGTTGCGTGCCCGATACTCTGCGCGTGCGGCCTTCATTTTGTTGCAGTCGAAGATTCGGTGGCCCGGCACCCCGCAAAAATCACACGTGTAGTTGGTGTTTTTCGGACGTGGCCGCCCCTCGAATCTGTCGACTTCCATCGGGTCGGCGAACGTGGGGTGAGCCGAGCGGTCGCCCTGTCGCGTACTGCCGACGTGCGTCCGTCGTGTTCCGGCGTTGACCATGTCGAAGCGCTCCGCTGCCGAAACGACGTCACTGTAGCTCGCGTAGTTTGACGCTGCGACTTGTCGTTTGACTTCGGTCTTCAACCCGGCGAGGTACGATTGTACTTTTTCCCCTTCGGTCAGGTCGGGAATGCGGTTATAAAATTCCTCCATCTGCTGCGTGTACTGTGCTACACTCCCGAACTGTCGGTGTCGATGAATTTTTTCCCGGGCAAGGAAACTCGAATTTATCGGTTCGAAGCGTTTCAGCAGGTCGGCGCGGAACTGCTGCCACGTGGCTTCACCGTGGATGAAAGTACTGTTGCCGCCAATCCACTCGAGTGCCGGCCCTCGCATCAGTGTCGCCGCGAGTCGTACACGTTGACCGTCCCAGACTGGCGAGCTCCATCCGACGGCTGCGAAGTAGATCTCCATCCCGGCGATCCATCTGCGGGCGTCGGAGTTTCGATCGCTCGGATCGAACGGCTCAGGTGGGCGCGGTTTCGGAGCCTCGAGAAACTGCTGCGACTGCTGCGTCGTCGCCGTTGTCGTCTCGTGCTGCGCTCCGGCGAGTCGAGTTACTCGCTCGAACTGGTTTCGCCACGCTTCGCGATCCGCTCGCATTTCCTCCTGAAGGGCTGCGATGCGCGCGAAGAGCTGCTGGGTAACCTCGGCGTTGTCGAAGGTTGCCATCCTGTTCAAAACACGCACGGAGGGGGTAATTCGAAAATCGCGGAGCTGGTGCTTACCAGAATCGGCGTCGAATTGGTCGCCCCCGGCGGTTTTTCGAGGCAGGATCCCCGCTGCTGCTGCTTAGCTGAGCGCGGCCGAGTGAGAAAAGCTCTGATTACCAAGTGTCACAGGATCGAATGTGTCGAGGAAAGGTTGCACTATCGATCGGTACAAGGCGCTTTTATACTTCCAGAGTACATCAGGTAACCAGGTTTATCTTATCCTAAGGGAATAGACCCTTCTAGAAGATAGAATCACCCTGCGTATAGCCACGTGAGGCTATTGGCTTTAAGGGATTACGGCAGGATTACGCTGGATAACGTCTCTAGTACATTCCATGCCTGGTCGGTGATATAATTATAATAAAGGAAGAGACCAAAGGATAATGGAAAATGGAAAATAGGAAACCAAATGAGATGCGGTAAAACGAGAAATGAAAAGGGAAGGAAATAAGAAAAGGCCAAGTGGTGTAACGGGGTCGTACTCTCACAGGTTCACTCGACTAAAGGTGTAGAAATATGCTTCGACAAACAGCTTTGGGGTGGGAGGTGCACGCGTGTCAACTGCTGTAAAAAACTTTGCTGTTTTCGCGCCGCTTCGCGCGAAACATGCAAATCGAAATGCGAAAAAAGATTTGGTGCCGGGAATCTAGTAACAAAACATTCGCAAACTGCGATTCATGAGCTGCACAACTTGACCGAGTTTTTGCATAAGTACCACGCCCTCAGTCGTAGTGGCGCTGGGCTGGGTTGCACTTCAAAAGTCCCAAAATGTATGAGCACATGTTTCAAGTTTCTTTCCGCTCAAACGCCTGGTTTATCGGGGGCAGGGGCAGAATTGGCTGGGGGTGGCGCATGCGTGTCAACTGTTTCCCGTGGTTTTGGTGTGCGATTTAGTTTTTCCTCTCGCTTTGCGGAACTAGGTTACCAGAAGGGAGGGTTCAAGATTAATAAACTTGAAACAAAATTTCTGCAATTTGGGTCAACGACTTTAACAGGTTCCTAGCACAGCTGGATGCCCTTTCATGTTCGACTCGGGCTTGCAACATGTTACACAACTTACATTCTTCTAAACCAAGAACGTCCATTGCACCACCTTGTCAAGCAAGCAAACCAACACTCTATGTTTAAACAATGGAGAACAAAACAGCAGCCCGTGCCACCAAGGGCACAGCCCTATGGTCAAATCTCCCTCGAGAATTTAATGTCACCTCATCTGCTAATCAGTTACATCACCCTCCATACAATTTCACATTCAATCCATATCTGTCGAGCGACCCACTAGGGTTGCCCTAGAGATCCTCGTAAGGGCTACAACCTCTATGCATGGGGTATCTGAGTGCGCTGACCCGTTAAGTGAAACAAGCCCTTTTAGCACAATGGTTAGTGGCTGTGCTCTCTAACATGGTAGCAGAGCTAGAGGTCTCGGGTTCGAATCCCAGTGTGCACCAGAATGGGTGCCGGTGTCCTCTGCCTACCCCAGTGAGGGGGGTGTGTCGAGTGACCCACTTGGGTTGCCCTAGAGATCCTCGAAAAGGCTACCAGCCTTTATGCCTGGGGGGTTCTGAGCGTGCTGACCCGCTAAGAGAAACAAGCCATTTTAACACAGTGGTTAGCGGTTGTGCTTTCTGAGAATATCCACTACCTCATTCTTGTCCTTGTGACGTTCACTCCAACCTCGCCAGCTTAATTCCGTAACCATAGTTCCAAGTTAATGGAGTAAGGTTTAAAACCATTATCAAATGCTCTCACCCAACATCTTGAACGTGAAAACTTCTCGTCCACCTCATTGAATGATTGGCGTTTCACACCATTGCTGATTCCCACCCCTATATTGCAAGTCGGCAACCCCCTCCCTTGCATCACCTTATTTCCTTGGCACCTCAAACCACTAGATCTTCTTGTTCAAACCCCCAACTCAACTCACTTCGAGATTCTGAAACCCACTCTTGTCTCTCAACCTACATTCGTGGGTAAATCAAGCATAAGATTCCGTTATAGCAATGCAAATGCTTCCGGGAGAAAAAGCCGACAGCTACATTAACAGGTTCAGAACCCTTAGGAATCAGCTCAGCAAGTGCGGAGGAAACCTCAGCAACGAGCTCTTCGTCACAATCCTTCTGGCTGGACTTGGACCCAATGGAGGTTGTGCTGTGTCTCCACTCCGACCATGGAGGCGAGTTCGCCTTTGGTCGGCTTGGACAGTTCTGTCGTGCGGAGGAGTTCACCCATTCGTACACGCTACCGGACTCCACACAGCAGAATGGAGTCGCTGAGTGACGCATCGGTTTGGTCATGGAGGTGGCTCATACCTCCATTATCCATGCTGGTGCACCCCATTTTCTGTGACCGTTCGCCGCTAGCTACGCCGCTCACTAGCTTAACCTGTGGCCGCACTCCCAGTGGCCGCAGGTTTGGCCGACCCTTCTTTGGACCGGGTTACCTGGTGACCGTCCGCGTTCCACGTCCGGGGCTGCCTTGCTCACGTTCGTGCCTCTGGCATGGACAAGCTCACTGCCCACACTGTCCGCTGTGTCTTCTTCAGTTTTCCCCCTGACTCGTCTGATTGGCACTTTCACCACCCGTCGTCTCACCGTTTCTTTCACTCCCGTAACGCCACTTTCGACGAGTCTGTCTCCTTCTACCACCGCTTTTCCACCCGAGGTCTCCCAGTTTTCCACCCCTGTTTTTGGTTCTTACTCCCCCTCCCCTCCCTCCCTACCCTGCTCCGTCTGGACTGTCTCACGTCACCCCCCTCCCGTCGGTTGTCCTGGTCAAGGAGACGGCTGACTCTGGTGGCCCTGTGGCGCAATTCTCGCTGCCTGTTTCTCCCCCGGTGTCTCCTCCTCCGCCGTCACAGCAGCCGCCACCATCGCAACCGCAGCAGCAGCCGCAGCCGTCGTCGCAGTCGCCGCAACAGCAGCTGTCGCTACCGCAGCAGCAGCAGCCGTCCGTGGTCTCTGGGGGTGCTGGCGTTGAGGAGGGTGCTAGTCCCGCGGTTCCTGTCGTGGCTTGTCCCGGCAGTCCAGGGGGTGGCACCTATGGTATAGACGGCTCTCGTCCTGGGGGAGCTCTTTCTGGGGGTGCTGGAGTGGAGCGTTTTGGAGGTAGCCGTGGTCCAGATGGTGGTCCTGGTG